ATAACATCCGGAAGACAAGGGATATACACTTTAAATATGTACCATTCCAAGTCGTCATGTTTGATAAATGGGAAACAACAGAACGTGTTCTCTGAAAAGGACTCACCAAAAATACTAAAAATACTTGAAGATCATTTAAAAACCAATATACATCTGCTAAAGAAATCAATGAAAACATTAAACAGTTAATTTTGTCGAGTAAATCAACAAATACTTCTGAAGAATGTTCAACTGATACTGACAGCATATTCTACTACACCCTCACGAAGTGCATAATGATAGAATCCAACCTATACTGAAAGAGAAATTGTTGAACGATGACAATTCAAGTTCAATCAAAGATATGTCACAGGACATTTCTTCCTCTATCCTAGATATGCGTAGAGAGCTAAACAATCACATAACAAAGACGGCTTCACAGATAGGTGAAATAAAAGATGCTTTGATTAGACTGAATTCTCAGAGGCAGGTAAATTCTAATGAATTGAATGGTGAAGTCGAACATATAAAAAACAACACGGAGGTAATCAAAGAACAAATTTCTTCGGTAAATTCCTGTCTGGTTCAAAGGCTACAGTCTATTTCAGATCATCTTCGGTCAAAAGCTAATGTTCCTTCTAACAGAACCGCTCATAATAAGAAAAGTAGCGTGGAAAATAAATCTCCTCATCAATCCTATGATTATTCCCTAGAAATGAATTGCTCAATAGATACTCTACAACCAGTATCAACAGAAGACAAGATACAGGACACAAACCAAACACATGTGAAATATATAGAGCCTTCCATTAACAAAATTAATGATTCAGATTCACCAACAAAATCCAACAGGTCCAGTAGATGGAAAACTCTTATTGTCGGGGATTCTATTCTGAAAGGAATTCATACACGAGGTCTGAAAAACAATGTTGATGTGCTAACGTGTCCAGGGAAGCAGACAAGTGATGTGTGTTTTCGTCTGCGCAATTATGATTTGCGTGAATACAAAAACATTGTTATTTACGTTGGTGGAAATGATGCGGCAAACGATGGTTCCGTTGATAAAGTTTACGAAGAACTCAAAGTAACCGTTGCTTCAATGCGTGATAAATGTGCTATCTATCTGTGTACTCTTTGTCCACGCCGTGATACAGATGTTGAACCAACTAACCGCGTAATTAAGAGAGTTTGTGAAGATACCAGGGCTACATTAATCAACTGCTTTCCATCTTTCGTCTATGGGGATGGCAGTACAGCAAAATATTACTACAGTCGGGATGGAATTCATCTAGGTTCTAAAGGAGCAAGTACTTTAGTAGCTGTAATCAACAAAACACTTCCGATAATAAAGGAACGTGATTCAAATGGACATGGTCAAAGACGACCCTTCTTGGGACCAAACACAAATGAAAAATTCAAGGTCAGATTGAATAACTTTATTCACTGTAATATTTGTGGTTTTAACAATCACACCACAAGGGAGTGCAGACGAGGCAGGAGGTGGTAGGTTCATGCAGATTGACATAATCTCTCATATGAATGTACTAACAAATTTAATATTTTTTCAAAACTTTGCAACACTTGTGATAAATTAGCTTGTGAATGTCAATTCAAAAACCTAAATCATTCTATATCAAACAATAATTCAAATGGTATAGATCTTGATAATAATTTTAACCTTACTTCCTCACATAGTGACACAAACTGGTTGTCGGTTGAAACTGCTTTTAATGAACCTGTTAGTAATTATGTAACATTTTCTTTCAGCACTAAAGGGTTGCATATAAGCTTTCTAAATGTACAACATCTTATGCCCAAAATTGATGAAATACGTATGATACTTAATGAATCAAATGCCCCAGATATTTTTGGTTTATGCGAAACATTTTTATGTGATTCAGTAGAAGATAAGGATCTCAAAATTGATAATTATACCTTTGAAAGGAGAGACAGGGTATTAAAGGGTGGCGGTGGAATTGTAATATATATCAAAGATACTGTTTCTTATAGAAGGCGAATTGACATAGAGTCGCAAAATGTGGAATCTGTTTGGTTACAGGTTAATTTTTCACACAATAAATCTGTACTGTTAAATTTCTTATACAGGCCACCTAACAGTAACCAGTCTTGGATTGATTTCTATGAGCAGCAATTAATTAATGCAGAATTAAATAATCTAGATTTGTATGTAATTGGAGATATGAACATTAACTATTCATACCCTAACAATTTCAATAATAGCAAATGGGCGCATATTGTTCAAGATTTTGGCCTCGAGCAATTAATCCAATCTCCTACTAGAGTAACTAAAGATACATCTACTATAATTGACCATTTGTACGTATCTTCCCTTAACCATATTCATGATGTGAGTGTCTCTAATTTAAGCATAAGCGATCACTATCCATTGTCGTTTACAATAAATTGTGTTACAAGAAGGGAGGCAAATGCTTTCTTGCATAAAACGATAAATTATCGTTCTTTCAAGAATTTTAATGAACAAGTATTTAAAGATGATTTGAATGCTAATAATTTTGATATGATTGAAACTATTGCAGAGCCAAATAACTCACTTGATGTTCTATACAATATGCTTGCAACATTATTTAACAAACATGCGCCTGTAAAAGTAAAGCGTATTAAAAGGACTAAACAACCAGATTGGTACTCTGACGAAATTAAAGAGGCCCGCAATAAAAGAGATCACTATAAAAGTTGTAAAGACTGGATTAATTATAAGTTATGGAGAAATAAATGCCAGGCTATTATTAAAAAGAGTAAGAAGATGTTCTATAACAAGGCAGTTGAAGATTCGAGAGATTGTAAATATTTATGGCAAAATTTAAAAGACATATCAAATGAGAATAAGCAGCAACCGTCTTTACCAATCACATTAAACATTAATGATGTTCTTTTTGAAGGAAATGTGAATGTTGCAAATGCCTTAAATAAACATTTTACAGAAATTTCAAATCTAATTAAGAAATCTTATTTTAATGTTAACAATTTTTCGTATTTAAAAGATTTTCTAGATCATAAACTTAGACATAAGCAATTTGACATTGATTTCATAACCACATTTGAAGTAAGCAAATATATTGACAACCTTGATAAAAATAAATCTTCTGGCATTGATGGAATTGGTCCTAATATGTTAAAACTATGTAAAGACTCTATAACGAGAGCAATAACTTCAATTATTAATAAGAGTATTTCACTAGGTATATTCCCAGATAAACTGAAACTAGCACGTGTTATACCTTTACACAAAGGGGGAGATAAGTCAAACCCCAATAATTATAGGCCAATATCTATTCTCCCAACCATTTCAAAAATACTTGAAAGGCATGTTGCAAATAAGCTAAATAATTATCTTCATTATACCAATATCATTAATGAACACCAGTCAGGTTTCCGGAGACATCATTCTTGCCAAACGGCTTTGATCCGCCTTATAGATGCTTGGCTTACGAATATTGATGATGGAAATATAATAGGTGCTGTATTTTTAGATTTTAAAAAAGCCTTTGATTTAGTTGACCATAATATATTGATTCATAAATTAAAACTTTATCATTTTTCTGAAAACTCTGTACAATTTTTCCAGTCATATGCATATCTCTCTAACAGAGAGCAAATTGTAAAAGTCAACAATGATAAATCTGAAAGCTTACCGGTTATATCAGGCGTGCCACAGGGCTCAATCTTAGGTCCTATACTGTTTCTTTTATATGTAAATGATATATCAGTCACTACGAATTCAGACATTGATATGTACGCAGACGATTCAACATTACACATAGCTGACCAAAGTTTGAGTAATATACAGTCTGAGCTGCAACTAGACTTACTAAAAATACAGGAATGGTGCACTCTCAATAATATGGCCATAAATCCAGAAAAGACCACGTGCATGATAATTGGATCAAAATGTAAAATAAATAACATAGGCAATCTTTCTCTGCATATTGAGAATTCGAGTATAAATAATGTTCATTGTCAAAAGCTACTTGGATTGCATATTGATAACTGTCTATCTTGGAAAACACATATTGACAAAACATGTTCTAAGCTTGCTTCTAAAATATCTCTGCTAAAAAGAATTCAAATATATTTCTTACACCTGAAATGAAACAATTATTTTATAACGCTTACATTGCCCCTACTTTTGATTATGGATGTATTATTTGGTCCCAATGTAACAAATCAGATCTAAATAGAATAACAAAATTACAAAAAAGAACCGCTAGAATTATTTTAAATAAACCCGTAAAAACAAATTCTCTTGATATGTTTCAAAATATGAAATAGTTATCTTTTCCATCTAGATGTAAATACTTTTCTGGAATTATGGTATATAAAGCGATGAATGAATTAACGCCAGCATATATTTCTAATCTAATTCCGTTATCTCAAAATAAAACTTACTTACTAAGATCAACACATAAAAAAGATATTATGCATTAACGACCTAAAACGAATTATTTGAAACGTACTTTTTATTATTCTAGTATGGAGTTATGGAACACTATTCCTTTAAAAATAAGAAATCTTTCAAGTCTTAAATTATTTAAATCACATTTCAAACATTTATTATTATCTAGAGATGAATTATAGAAAATTTACCTATATTATAATATAATATTATGTCTGTCTTCTTTGTTGATTAAGATTTACTGAATGTTGTAATCTTTACAATTGTTTGAATATGTCCGTTGTTATGTTTATGTTTTATTGAAGGCCTTGTTGAAAATAAGATTTTGCATTATATGTGTTGTATCTAATGCTTTGATGTATTGTCTTAATAAGTTACCTTCGTTAAATAAAGAGTTTATTATTATTATTATTATTATTATTATATTATTATTACGACAATAACAATAAGAAGAAGAATTATTATCATTATAATTATCACGATCATCATCGTCACCGATTTAAAAATTATTATTATTATTATTATTATTATTATTATTATTATTATTATTATTATTATTATTATTATTATTATTATTCAATTGCAGCAATCCTCTACGTTGGAATAGGTACACTTGTACTATGGATTATTGTGAAGGCCATTTCTTATTGTTATCGGTATGCTATTACAGTATATTACGTATTTGTCTTCATTTTAAGGCTAATTCTGAATTATTAAACTTTTTGAATTATATTTGGAATTTGTAATTTGAAGATTTCTGGAGCTAAATGGCTGTTTTACGTCCATTTTTCTAATAATTATTTTAAAAATATACCAAGGAAAAGTTGTCTTTCTGTCACTTAAAAAAAGAAATACAAAATTAATATTATTCAAAGTGCGGATGACAAAGTATTCAATTAACTTTCAGAGTGAGAGTTCGTGACGAGGCAAAATACGAGTTAGACCACTCCCACGATGCTAAAAAGGAACAACCCGTTTCTAATGACATTGTATGCTTTACATTTTTTAATATCCTTTCTAATTTCACTAAAACTAAAACTATGTTAACGTTTTCTAAAGCTAGCAGTGCAGACCAAGATCAGACATTATCTTTACAGGGCAATATCAATTTTTCAAGATTTTGGAAATTTTGCTGAAAGTTTGTTTATAATGAATATATTGTACGAGTATACATTTTTGTATTTTAGACGTGGACATATTTTTTTTACAATTTGTTGTAAATTGTTGCCTTTGGTTTCAAATGTGCCTTTGCTAAAGTAGAACAAAGAAGAAACAAGGAGTATCTTTTAAAACGATACTCGGCCGAAGTAAATCTGTTTATCATGCAAAATTATGTAAATTCTAAGTTTTCAATACAAAAAGAAATGTAAGCAATGCTTGCATAACAATGACTTGATAATTATTTATTGTAGCTATTAAGAAAATATCCACTTTGGAAACATTGAAATTGAATTAAGCATATTCATATTGATGATCTTTCAAAGAAGAACAACTTCTTTTTAAGGTGTCCCTTTCACTTATTGTACGTTTGACTTTATAAATTTTGTAATCATTTACAAATTAACCTAGAAAAAAAAAAACTATCCTCATTCCTGTACATTTTATTTTAGAACTATCCTCTACATTTTATTTTATAGTGGCAAAACTATCCCTTACATTTTATCATAGAGCTATCCTTAAAATTTTATTTTAGAATGGCAAGAACTGTCCTTTACATTTTATTTTAGAATGACCAATGAGATTCACCGATTTCAGTTTGTAATTTTAAAATGACCAATGAAAATTCTTCTTATATTCAGTCCTTCCCTGTTAATTTTACAGGAAGTCAAACTGATAACAGACGGACTTCGTCCGAAAAAAAAAATTCCCATATGAAATTTGTTTTTTTGCTTTGTCGCCTATATTCAACTCACCTGAAAACTAAGTTCATTAACACTAGTGGTCTAATTTTTTGCTCAATTTTCACAAAACATTATCAAAATGATCGATGGTCACAGAAATTACTTTGGCGAGTTCGAATATGAGTCATCTCGGATGAAAAACTAGGTCACATCACCCAAAAATAAGATTTAAAAAAAAACAAAAAAACACTATCGATGCTACTGTTCAGCCCAAATATCCTGGGAATTTGACAGGATATCCTGGAAATTTGACAGGAAACTTGCTTAAGTGATTTGTAGTTCAAGTTCGAATATAGGTTACCTCTGGTCGAAAAAAGGTCTCACAATCCAAATATGGAAAACCCTTGTTCACACACTAAAGGTAACATTATCAGCCAGATATCCGGGACTCAAGTTCGAACATGGAGTCGAAAACTAGGTCACATAGTTCAAATATGGCCCAAAAACGCATAAACACAATAAAAGTTACATTTTCAGCTCAAATATCCTGATAGAATGGTTGTTTCTATGATTTCTACCTTAAGTTTCAATATGGGTCATGTGATGTTAAAGCTACATGTAGGTCACGGAGCTCAAATATTGAACAACCTTATTAACACTTATATTGCTCAAGTATCCTGGAAATTTGTCAGAAAAAGTTATATCGACGATTTCTAGCTCAAGATAAAATATTGGTTATCTTGGATCGAAACATAAACGTCAGAAATTTGTCAGAAAGGTTTATTCTATGATTTTAGCTTATGTTCAACTATGGGTCATCCGAGGTAAGTTTGTAATAAAAAAATACTTGTACTCAAATGAACGATATCGGACCATCATGACCCTTTTGACAGTAAATTACACTTGTATACATGTATGAAATCATAAAAAATTACGATTTTTTGTATATGCATAGCCATTTACATTGCTTGGTGAAGTGTGTTTCTTTTGTTATATTTGATGTCATAATTACTAGTTTTTATTTCACTATTCTCCTTATAAGGCAATGACCGTAACGCCAGATTCTACAGAAAATGAAGTACCGCTCGACACCCACAAGAAACGACAACGACTACATTCACTCGACACATTTAGAGGGTAAACAAGTCTTCATTATCTTAGACTGGCCGCAGTCTAACCCAAACTGTTGGATGTTCAGTAATCAGGAGCTCAGCTGTGATAATGTGCAACTTGGATACTTCTGCCTTTTTATAACAATTGGAAATTTGAAAATAAATAAATAAATTAAATAATTAATTAATTAATAAATAAAAATACATGTAATAAAGAAATGATGCAAATACAACTTTCACATATGGTAAACTATTAAACATCAAAATGTAGGCTTATTTGACGTCTATTTTTCCACCAGGAAATACTTCCTTATGAGCAACATATTTGCATTTTGGATGCCATGCCTTTATATGCCTTACACTATCAATTTAGATACACGGCATTTTCTTTTCAGTATGTAATTTTGATTTATTTTGTTGTTTGGTTACATGAAATTTCAGTTTGAGTTTGGTCATCATGATTTTTGTCAATTATGGCGGTGGAGGATACTGGTTTTTTGAGCATCCACCATGGAATGGCCTTACCCTAGCGGACCTCGTGTTCCCATGGTATGTTTTTGAAATGTTGGGAGAGGGACTTAAGTCAGAGACCACTGACTTGGTGGGTTAAAGTCAGAGACCACCAACTTTAACAAAAAAGAGAACACCAACTGAAATAAAAAATCGTACTTTAACACTTATCAAAATCAGTTACCAAAAAGGGACCGAATTATGAACATTAACCTATGTCGATGACATATTTGAATTTCCTAACTGTAATTTGTTTAATATATTGTCAATTGACTTAGACGGAATAATTTACGTTAAATTTAGTACAGTAGATTTTAATTGCGCAACATCTTCATTGTATTTATTTGCTTTCGCATTTACAGGTTCGTGTTTATCATGGGAACATCAATGAATTTTTCGTTTAAAGGCATGTTAAAACGAGGCAGGTCACGTGGTATGATATTCTGGAAGGTTCTCAAGAGGAGTTGTCTTCTCTTTGCATTTGGCATCATTCTGAATACGAATTGGGGACGTAAGCCAGTTTAATTTTAATTATTAGTAAATGTTCGATGAAAAAAATCCAACTGTTAGATTTTTTTTTCAGTAAGTGTCAAAATGTTTGTATGCGAACAAACAGTAGACTGAGTAGTAAATTGCTTTGGACAAAAGCATTGTCGACTTTGCAGGTTTTTTTTCTGCTTCTGTATTAAGATGAAAATAATTTCTTTATCTTGACCTGTAGAGAGTATGTATATAACTGAACATCCAAGTAATTTCTCCAGAAGTTATAATATAATCTTAAAACTTTAATTGTTTTTAAAAAAATCATTACCCATAGTGTATTATACTTTGAACAGCTGTTGACTTGGAGCATCTACGTATACCAGGGGTGTTACAGAGGCTCAGTTTAAGTTATTTTTTCGTCGCGTTTCTACGGACATTGTTTGCCAAACAGAAAGACGTCGGGAAGGTAAATAACTATCAATGCAATCTAGGTGGTTAAGATATCAGCATAATATCATATATATCATCAAGTTAAAAACGAAAGAAAACCAATGATAATTTTTTTAACCCATTGGAAAAATGCTTTGACCACAATTTTACAAAATGTACATCTATTTCTAAGTAATGCTCATAATTTAGAAATGCAATAATTGTTTTAGTTCCTGGATGTTTCGTTTTTCTCGGCTCGAACGACCAAAAAGAACATATTAAAGTTATATAAACTATTGAATTTGATATATCTGAATGTATTTAAATTAAAATTGAATTTGACATAAGTATGGCGGATAAGTCCCGGGAGTTTTGACATTGAATGTGAGATTTCATTAGTATTCATTAATTAAGTGATTGAAAGTTCTTTGTCCAATGGAATTGCAGTATTTCAAATGAATCATTTAGTAAATCGGTCAATATTTATCAGTCTCGTAAATCGACAGTTTTATAAAAATAATTTCAAAAGCTCAATTGTATGGTGGCATATTTCTGCCACCAGACAACCATATAATTAACTAGTTAATTAAGAGATTAACTAGTTACGTAACTAGTAAACCTCTTAATTAACTAGTGAGTTATGTGGTTAACTAGTTACGTAACTAGTTAATTTTTTCAATAAATAAAAGATCATAACGGGAAATAAATGCATGTTAGTGCCTACAACTGCCATCCTTTTATTATTTTACCAGCTTAATATTAAGAAATTAACTACTTACGTATATGGTTATCTGGTGGCAGAAATATGACACCATACGATTGGCTAGTATTTATAAGTAAGTATTTACTACATCATAAATTGGTCGTACGGGACCAATTAAATTTTGTAAATGCTAATAAACACTAACCTATACTTAATTTTTATTTTGTTATTATATAAGTTTTTGTCATGTATTACATGCACACAAACGTCCCGACATAAAGAAATTCCGCATTATAACTAGTATAACCAGGAATTGCGTTGGTAACGTAATACCAAGTGTTACGTTACAATTAAATTTGAAGTGGTATATAATGATAACGGGGTCGTTATCAGAGCAATATGGTTACTCATAAATCTCTCCAGTAAAATGTCTGTCTTCTTTTGGAATGAATATGCATTGCCCTTTGTCGACCCCTCGGGTAAAAAATCCTAGATTCGCGTGTTGATTCATTACTTGAATTTGGCCTCGTTAGTTTCTGGTTTATTAAAATCCAGTCGGCTGCAGATCAAGACCTGCTTGAAATAGCTCTCTGTAACAGCAGAGTAGTTAATACGGCTTGAATTAAAAATATACTATAGTTTTGTTTATGAATTCTGAATTTTGAATTAGAACAGGAATTGGTTCTGGATCAGAGATGTTGTTGTCATTCTACCGGACTGGATCGCGTGCCTTGGTTTCCTAGCAATGTATTTGGCATTGACCTTTAAACTAAATGTACCTGGATGTCCGACGTAAGTTCTAATATAGCTATGAATACAGTTCTAACATTTGTTTATTTACGAAAGCGGCTTATAATGGAAGCTAAATTATTTTGTCAAGCTGTTTATTTTTTCAGAAAAAGGTGACCAGCAGTGATAAACAAGAGAACGCAAGTAATTAAAAAAAAGCCGCACACGAAAAAGTAAAAAACAAAACATTTTTCGAGTCATGTCAGGGATTTATCATTGCAATAATAATGTTTTTAATACTATTATATTTTTAGCGGATATATTGGTCCGGGAGGTTTGCACGAGGGTAAACTTTACGAGAACTGTACAGGCGGTGCTGCCGGGTATATAGACAGGATGGTTTTAGGAGTAAATCATATATACGGCAATCCTACACCAAAGGTAATTGTACTCGTACAAATGTATGCATTTATTAAATACTAAATACTATATTAAACAATACCGGTAAGAAGGTTCTTTCAAACGGTTTGACCTACTGTAACCAAACAACTAATCAGTAAGAATCTAATTCTTAAATTATTTTCATGTGCATACAATCAAGTGCCCTAATGTGCGTTTAATAAATATTGGTAGCGATAGATTACTGTTATAAACCATGTATATACAAGAAAAGCATTGATGCAAAGCATCAAAGGGCGTCCAAGCAAGAAATGCATCAAGTGAAGATGAACTAGTACACATATGATGACAAGATATTCTTATAAACTACCAGAAATGTATACCACTTATGAATGAGCGGACGAAAGACATTGTTCATTATGAACTTTGATTGGCATGCTAGAGATTAGAATATTACTTGTTATTTCTTTATGATCGTGGTTATTAATAGCAACGGATATACATGTATGCAATCATTTATAATCCATATGTGTAACGCATGATCAACACGTACCACACATTTGTCCCTTATTATGTTATCGCTATTAGCGAAGACCCCCTTAAGGTATCTGTTCACACTTTAAGTTAGTAAAAATATGACACTGGTTATATTACCATGTTGATCATGTTGAGCATAATTGTTTATTATACAATAATTGTAATATCTATTAATTTTAATTAAAAAAAAAATACAAATTTTATGAATATTGTTTTCTTTTATTCTTTTTTGTGTTTTATGTGCTATTTTAATACTGAGTTTTTACTACTCTTTTTTATTAAAATTGTAAAATAAATTTTAAGAATTCAATTGTCATATTGACCGACGATTATAAGTCAAAGCTTAACTGGAAAAAGTCAGTAAATTATGGTTTATCTTTCAATATATAATATTGTTTATTCTTAAACCATGTACATGTACATTGTATTTTTCTTTATCATTTTTTAAATTATCGATCAATTGAATAATTCATAAAATCTAATTTGTAACTTTGAATAATTCCTCGGCATCTTTACTAAACACGGATAACAAATTAAATAATTAAATAAAATGTTTCAAAGTTGATAATGTCATTTTAATACCATAAAAAATGTACCTTTTTCTCAATTATTGTACATATCACGGATTTATATTACATATAAATCCGTGTACATATTTATTGTTTTTATCTCATATAGATATAAAAAACCCCGAAGAGCGCGATTTATTGACGGAAAAGGTTATTTCATTTGTAAATGTTTGCATTGCGAAAATTCATTGTAACATATCGCGACATTTCATTCTTATTTAATAATAATCAAGCAACCTCATACCGATCGGAATTTTCAGCTTTTATTATGACCGACTAAAAGGCTCGAGAAGTTGTTGTCGCCCTTTCACAAAATCTGATCTCATTCCATAAGAGCGCCGCGCTTCGGCGCGGACGCCAAAAATGAAACATGCTATTGTTGTTTTTTTTCTAATTGTAACGATATCACAACGCGGACGCCAAAAATGAAACATGCTATTGTTGTTTTTTTTCTAATTGTAACGATATCAAACATCTACTCCAAAACCGGGAGAGACCGGACAATAAACCTGTGGTACTATTCGCCGGTCACTAGTAAATCCTGGTCAAAATAGACCGGGAGAGACCGGCATTTACCGATAGGAGTGATAAATAGATATATCTATAAATAGGTTTTTGGAATATTTAGGTCATCAACTGATCATTCTAGGATACATGTACAACAATAACATACCATGATAACCGACTGTGTACTACAAAATGATAAATAAAAAACCCCGAAGAGCGCGATTTATTGACGGAAAAGGTTATTTCATTTGAAAATGTTTGCATTGCGAAAATTCATTGTAACATATCGCGACATTTCATTCTGATTTAATAATCAAGCACCCTCATACCGATCGGAATTTTCGGCTTTTATTATGACCGACTAAAAGGCTCGAGAAGTTGCTGTCGCCCTTTCACAAAATCTGATCTCATTCCATAAGAGCGCCGCGCTTCGGCGCGGACGCCAATCAGCTATGATGAGCTCGTTTGACAGTCGGCACATTCCGCATTTATACATATAGTCTAACAAGCTTTGCTGATAAACCCTTTGCATGCTGGTAAGATTGTCTCTCGAAACTGAAATAATGAATAATGGATGACTGACAAAGTCTTCTAGTACTCGGCATAAGGTTTGATACCGAGCTCTTTTACAATGGCTTTTATGATCGCTCTGGTTCAGCAATTAGCCAATCAATTTAAGTATACAGATGTTGATGGAGGTGGAATGACAAACCCCTTTTCATGACAATACAAAGTTACAAACAAAATAAAACCAAAGTGCTTATTTGAAATAACAATGTAAATGTATATCAAAATGGTAGATTAAACAATAGGGATGTTTTTTTTTTTGTTGACAGGAAATTTACCAGACGAAAGTAGCATACGATCCCGAGGGAATTCTGGGAACTCTGACGTCAATATTCCTCTGCTTTCTGGGCGTGCAAGTAAATATATTTTGATGTAGAGCTTCACACATATTGTTTTACATCGTAAATAGAAATAACCAACATGTTAATTACTGAATAACCGGTGCAATAATATAAGTAGTTTTTCTATTTTCAATAAAAACACCAATAACAATAAGGTTTACCACCATAGCTGACATTTTGTACAGAAATATAAAAACAATTATCATTATTTGTCCAACTGTTTCTACATTTGATATTTTAGTGTAAGTCAATCACTTATTTCAGATATATACAGAAAAAAGAAAAAAAAATATTGTTCATTAATTTTATATTACCTAACAATTAAACGTCGGTTGGCAAAATGTCACACTGGCAATATGGTGTTTTTTATCGTTTATAAAATAATAGAAATGTATCATGTTTTTAAGATAAGAATATAAATCGTGACAAAATTTCAAAACTTATTTCACTCTGAGATAATTAAAAATGTTTGTGTTTGTAGGCGGGGCGTATCTTCGTCTGCTATCAGGATGCCATTGGTCGAACTGTTCGTCTGGTTATCTGGTCATTAATAACGGTATATGTTTTTTTTAGCTTGGCAATGCATTGCTTTCACATTAATTATATATTATTTATGACGTCACAGAGCTATATTTAAAGTCTCTGGTTTTGTGTGCGTGATGTAATGTATGCTAATGTAATGCAGTGAAATGTTATGTACGCTAATTTTAAAGTTATATTAACCTATTCTAGACAACCCATCTGGTCAACCCAACCGTTACAAAATAATTATGACATACAAACTGTGAGGAAGAATGTCAAATATGCATGAGGTTTTAATTGCAAGAGAATTTTCTTAATCGTTGTATGATTAAGGGAAATAATTAAAAGGATAATTTAAATAAATTAACAAAAATGGGGGTTACCCGCCTACTTTTTTGCTCTATTAGGTCACAATAAAGTAAGAAGTTAAAACTGTTGCTTTAGTTACAGATTTATCTTTATTACTGTAATAATTGTCATGGTGTTAAACTTGCTAAATTTCTATACGACAGATTTTATCTAATAGTTGCTTATACCAATGATATAAATTGTCTTCCAATTTCGTAAATAAGAAAACAAAAAAAAACACACACAAAAACCCACAAAAAACAACTGTATGTTTACTCATTGAAGCATAGTAAATGTCTTTTGCATATAACTATTTCTAAACTTTGCTTAATGAGTGATAATGGAATAACACAAATGATTTGAAATAAAACAAGGTACTATAATGAACGTTTGATTTTGAGTTACCTGCTCCAAGATCTGATTCTCTTAAATCTCTAGAAAATGCAATTCCACTGGAAATGTTATTACATGTATACATACAAATTTGAGCCGCGTCACGATAAAACCAACATAATGGGTTTGCGACCAGCATGGATCCAAATCAGCCTGCGCATCCGCGCAGTCTGATCAGGATCCATGCTGTTCGATATCAGTTTCTCTACTTGTAATAGGGTTTGTAATCGAACAGCATGGATCCTGATCAGACTGCGGGGATGCGCAGGCTGGTCTGGATCCATGCTGGTCGCAAACGCACTATGTTGGTTTTGTCATGACGCGGCTCATTTCTAATTACAGGGAGTAATAGGGGCGGCGGTGTGTAATTTTTCCAAGAACGATGGAGTTATACCGTTAAACAAAAACCTTTGGTCTGTATCGTTCATCATGGTAACGGCTAGCTTTGCATACTTTCTGCTAGCTATGCTATATATAATTGTCGATGTTCTCAAACTATGGAACGGCGCACCATTCATATTTGCCGGTAAGTCTGGTCCAAATGTTTCATTTACCTCCCCTGTATAGTCTTCTCTTGACTAAATAAAATATGTAATGGAAGCCGATGTGTAAGAAATAATGAGAGAAAAAAAGTTATAATATTGGTAGCATATTTGGGAGCTATGTCCAGTCTGTATTTGGAAATTGTAATCTTATGAGGAAACAAATTTTGTCTCTTTTTGTTTTTGTTTTGTTATTTGTCCAATCACTGTCCAATATCATGTTGTTATTAACAATTTGAAATGAAAGCAGACAACTCAAACACGTCAAGAAACACTATGTAATTTTTAAGCTTTAAACAACGTGAATACATCTAATACATATTAGTTTATAATGTTTTAGAACAAAACTTCATATTGGTCAGTTCTAGGGTAATGAAGGCTGCTAAAAAAATAACATATATCCTGTATAAATAAGGTTTGCTAGAAAACATTTTGTTGTAATAAGTATAGGTAAAGAACATTTAGCTTACGCGCCACTATAAATCTGAATTTTGCAAACTATGTTTTTTTTTCAAGTTATGAATACTACTTGTGTTTATGTTCTTGTATCTAGGTATACATAAATTAAAATACCATATCGACTAGAAACTTCATTTATTTCAGCTCAGTCAATAGGATTTAAATGTATACGTGTATTTATTTTTCTCTTGCAGGAATGAACCCACTGGTGCTCTATCTTTGTCACGATATATTTTATCGATTCTTTCCGGTTAACTGGCAGATAGAACAGGTTCACTGGAAACTCCTCATCAAAGCAGTCTGGGATGTTATAATCTGGCTGGTTCTTGGCTTTGTTCTCTATTGCAAAAAGATCTTCATAGCACTGTAAATTAGATGCTAACATCTTTGCATTGCAAGCACAAATGTCGTCTGCTGAAAATTTATTTGCTTATATATTTTCTTCTTCTCGAAATAAAAAGGTGACTGTCAAACAGCTTGGTCTCTGGCAAGACTCTGAAGAACTTGTCGTCTGCTTTTGGTGTCAAGCTTTATGGAAGTCTTTTAAGATCACTCCCAGCAGATTAAGACTTAATGACAACGTAGACCTTTTCTATAACGCCATACTGTATTGAATTGCCAGGTTATCTTTCAACCACATGCAGTCGGACCAGAATCATGTTGGCTACTTTATATTAATATTTTCATACATATATATTGAAGTTAGTGAATAAGCAATGAAAAAACATATGATTTTTAATTATCTGTTTCTATTGTAACATCGTATATAAACAGTGTATCTTGTCAGGATTATATATATTATCTTTATAAAGAAAGCGTATCCGCACCACAGTTTCGGATTTATATATCTTTACTGAAGCCATTAGAAGCACAACAAAGATAGGATTAATGTGATACTTTAATGCTTGCATTAACAAGGTACATATGGATATGAGGGCTTTAAATTAAAAAAAAACATCTGAATAAAGATGAAAGCTACCTTTGGAATGTGCTACGTCACGTATGATTATTACATGTATTAATTCTATGATCATAAAATCTGGCTTAAAAATGTTCAAGTGATTCGAGGCCAGAGACTTTTCCCACCTGGCCACAGAGGCCCCGACGTTTGTTTTTATTATTATTTTTTTAATTAAATGTCACTTAGCTCAAGCATGTTCAAAGACAGTACCGTTTCAATAGATTTCGCAAAGAGGGTACCGATATGGATACGCACCATGGAAACTCTATGACACCATTCAGTCACATGATCAGATTCAAGGAATGGCGGGAGTTAGTAAACATTCGTATCATCTGACGAATTATTTCTGTTAAACTTTTATACGAATTATTTTTAAGCAGTTCAACCACTTAAATTGAACATTTTTGAAATATTACTACTTTAAGTAGCTATAGTCTTTAGAAAAAGGATCGATAATATGAATGGAACGCTAAAATCACACTGCTTAAAAACATGTGAAAAGGGGCAAAAAACAAATAAAAAACAAGAGCCTTATCATAATAAAAATCCATACATATAATGTGTTTTTGGAATATGTAATTTTATTTTTCGTTGCAAAGTAAAACTGCGTCTTTGAACGATAGGAAATTCGCGTCATTGCAGTTATCAGCAATTTCTTCGAGCAAGTTGCAACCTTCCTATAAATCAGTGATCTTTTCAAGAATACTCCATCAATAAGACACGATAAGAAAACAATTAAGACTACTATTGTCATATTATGATGCAATAATATAAATTCAAATCTTAAAACAAAGATCAATTGTATCACCGTTCATTACTGCATTTCAAACACTGAAATGAGTTTAATATGTCAAAAATATTGTTCTTCTTTTACAAGAGCCAAAGTCAGTCTGTATAGCTCATTAAGAAGAAGGGTATCGGGTATGCAAGCCAGAAGTCGTTGGTCCGATCAGCGGGCGATGCGAAATTTATCCGTAATTAATCTAGGACAGCGAGTCTAATGACCATTTGTCTCACACTGCCGATTCCTTCAGTTTCGGCTAAATTACGGTTATAACTGGTAAATGACCAAAAATATGTATTCAAACCGGCATTTCTCTAATCTGGCGGCGTGATTCTGTACGACTGTGTCTTTTATTTATGTATATTTTAAGTTATTATCATTAAAACTTTTCATTTTGTACCATCATACTATCCCATGCGTGCCAAAATTCATAGGAGATTAGCATAATTATTAGGAGACTGATCTATCAAGGGAGAGTAATCGAGGGAGGTATTCTTATACCTATATATACTGCATGAATTACCTCCCATTATCAATCTTTAACAAATAGCGGTTACCAACCTGAGTTAACTTCGACATTTAGCGTCTCTGTATTTTATTTTGACTTTAAGAAGTTATCTTGATTTAAATATGGAACAGTCCATTCGATTCTTAAGGGATTGCAGAAATTGATGTACCAACGACATTGTCAGAGAAGTTGGAAACCGAATCTGGTCTTCTGCGGACCAGCTGCCGATGCCTTGACTGAAGATGAGGCGAGTGTCCCTATACAAAGTATGTAGGGGCTACGAGGAAGAATGTTTGGTTTCGTGAGCCCCTAGTACGTTGTTAAAGCTTGACAGACACGTCCTTTGCATGGCACCGACAGCCATTATCAGCACTACCTCTTACCCTTCATTATTGTCACAGGTTACTGTACTTTAATTAAGGTGCTTATTGACCTTATTTCGGCTTAAATAGTTCTTTGAGGTAAGTTATGACCATTCCGTGCTTCAACATAAAACATTCAAGGACATGACTTTGTCAGATTTCTTGGTTCAAAGATTTTTTTGCCCCTTAACGTTTGTGCGCATGGATCCATATAAGACTTCAAAGAGACAACATGTTGCGGACTCGGTCCAGTTGAACCGTTTGCATTATTTTAACATGTTATCATTGACAAATGGAAAGAGAATTTAAAATAATAAAAAAACTTATCAACATCCACTTCATATAAAAACGCTATTTTTTAGATACATCAAGTTGTAAAATATTACTTTGAAATTGCATGTAATGACAAAAGTAAACGGATGAAACTGAAAATAAAATTTCTTTTTAATCCGAATATTGAACTTCGAAATTCTTATAAAAGCTGGGTGCATATCCAGTAACGCATGAATGTGCAAATAACGGAAAAGTAACGCCGAATCTGTACAACGGTATTGCCAAAACGAATAACACAGTAAGTAAACGAACCAAAATATTTTATTCTAAATCAAATTCAAAGAAATTAATTAACCTAAGAATTTGTCAAACTACAACTGTCGTATAACAACAGAAGGAAGCTGGTAAAACAAGATATGTTTGTAAAACATGTATGCCCCCTATCAGCAGCCAATTAGTCATGTGATAAGGTTATTATGCATGACTTCTGACCCAGTGATCAAACAATTAAAAAGGATTATCAAGTATCTACTGGTCATGACCTTAACCTTTGACCCCTTGACCCAAAACTCAATAGGGGTCATCTACTGGTCACGACCAATCATCATACAAAGTTTGAAGTTCCTAGGCCTAAGCGTTTTTAGTTAATTGATCAGAAACCGTTTTTACCTTCAAGGTCAATGTGACCTTGACGTTTGCCCACTTGACCCCAAAATCAATAGGTCATCTGCTGGTCATGACCAATCACCATACCAAGTTTGAAGTTCCTAGGCCTAAGGGTTCTTTAGTTATTGATCGGAAACCGTTTTAACATACAAGGTCAATGTGACCTTGACCTTTGACCCCAAAATCAATGAGGGGCATCAGCTGCTCATGACCAATCACCATGCCAAGTTTGAAGTTCCTAGGCCGAAGCGTTCTTTAGTTATTGATCAGAAACCGTTTTACTTACAATGTCAATGTGACCTTGACCTTTGACCCCTTGATCCCAAAATCATTAGGGGTAATCTGCTGGTCATGACAAATCACCATGCCAAGTTTAAAGTTCCTAGGCCTAAGCGTTCTTAAGTTATTGATCAGAAACCGTTTTTACTTACAAGGTCAATGTGACCTTGACCTTTGACCCCTTGACCCAAAACTCAATAGGGGTCATCTGCTGGTCACGACTAATCATCATACAAAGTTTGAAGTTCCTAGGCCTAAGTTTTTAGTTAATTGATCGGAAACCGTTTTTACCTACAAGGTCAATGTGACCTTGACCTTTGACCCCTTGACCCCAAAATCAAAAGGTCATCTGCTGGTCATGACCAATCACCATACCAAGTTTGAAGTTCCTAGACCTAAGGGTTCTTAAGTTATTGATTGGAAAGCATTTTTACCTACAAGGTCAATGTGACCTTGCCCTTTGACCCCTTAACCCCAATATCAATAGGGGTCATCTGCTGGTCATGACCAATCACCATACCAAGTTTGAAGTTCCTAGGCCTAAGGGTTCTTTAGTTATTGATCGGAAACCGTTTTTACCTATGAGGTCAATGTGACCTTGACCTTTGACCCCTTGAACCCAAAATCAATAGGGGTCATCTACTGATCATGACCAATCATCATATCAAGTTTGAAGTCCCTAGGCCTAAGGGTTCTTTTGTTATTGATCGGAAACCGTTTTTACCCAAGAGGTCAATGTGACCTTGACCTTTGACCCCTTAACCCCAAAATCAATAGGGGTCATCTGCTGGTCATAACCAATCACCATACCAAGTTTGAAGTTCCTAGGCCTAAAAGTTCTTTAGTTATTGATCGGAATCCGTTTTTGCTTACAAGGTCAATGTGACCTTGACCTTTGACCCCTTGACCCCAAAATCAATAGGGGTCATCTACTGATCATGACCAATCACCATACCAAGTTTGAAGTTCCTAGGCCTTAAAGTTCTTTAGTTATTGATCGGAAACCATTTTTCCTTACAAGGTCAATGTGACCTTGACCTTTGACCCCTTGACCCCAAAATCAATAGGGGTCATCTACTGATCATAACCAATCACCATACCAAGTTTGAAGTTCCTAGGCCTTAATTAAGGTTCTTTAGTTATTGATCGGAAACTGTTTTTCCTTACAAGGTCAATGTGACCTTGACCTTTGACCCCTTGACCCCAAAATCAATAGGGGTCATCTACTGATCATGAACAATCACCATACCAAGTTTGAAGTTCCTAGGCCTTAAGGTTCTTTAGTTATTGATCGGAAACCGTTTTTGCCTACAAGGTCAATGTGACCTTGACCTTTGACCCCTTGACCCCAAAATCAATAGGGGTCATCTACTGGACATGACCAATCACCATACCAAGTTTGAAGTTCCTAGGCCTAAGGGTTCTTTAGTTATCACTCGGAAACCATTTGGTCTACGGACCGACGGACCGACGGACCGACGGACCGACAAGTGCAAAGCAATATACCCCCTTTTCTTCGAAATGGGGGCATAATAAGATTTAGATAACCGTTGTTGATCCAGTGCTTCTTTCACAAATTCGGCGTTACCTCGTAAAAATGGTCTCAATTACGTTTTGTCTGATTGGAAAATGTCTCAGGTACACCGAATATATAAAATCATAAAGTAATATTATGTTATTGTATTTAAAGATATCAACTAAACTAAAAATCGCCATCAATACGCTAGTCAGGTCGTCACTTGAAAAATAAACATTTTCATGAACAAAAATTTTGATGAGGTTTACAGTATAATGTCTCAGCAACCGTATGTACATTTACTTATCGCGGTGCTCGTTTAACCACTAAATTGCACAAGTTTGCGTTACTTTTGCACAATTCCTGCGTTATTTGCACACTCCTGCGTTACTGGATATACACGGTGTAATGTGTCCCAGATAAAAGACAAAATACTCGGGCTATCTATTACCCAAACGTAATTTTATTTGTTATATGCTCTGAATCAGGGACAGAAGATAACTTAGAACTTTATCTAAATGTACAAATCACTTGATAAATGACCAATCTGTTATAAAATCAGCGTTACGTAATTTATATATTATACCAGTAGTAAGATGTTATACGTTATGCACCACTGTTAAGCGTAGTTAGGCCTATAAAATATTCATTGAAGGGCATAATGCCTTAAATTCCCGTGGGCACTTTATAGTAGTAAAGTGAGACCGGTCAGTTTCATTGCTCACGACTTAAAAATCTCACAGTCGTGCTCGTCATCTCGCGTCGTCTGTTTAAACTGCTGTTGGCCGTACCATAGGTAGATGTCGACAGCTTTAGATTTAGTTTGCCGCCGTGTATAACCGCGTGTGGTTTATTTAAAACTACACGTATCGATATATAAAAAGACAAATTAGATCTATACTTCATTGTATACACTTCACTTTAGTTTACTTTGCTAAATTAAACTTACAGTTTCTTAGGAATGAGTAAAATAGATAATTTTATCAGACAATTAGTAATAAAAGCGTCCTAGCCTATCCTTGCCTGTCAAAATACTCCCTACATTAGTCATCGAACAGGTTTGAGTGAATATATTCATAACCTCGTGGTTAACAAACTTACATAGTAGTAAGTTTAGTAACCGGGGGGAAAGAGATACGGTCTATATGATTTAGTCATGAATGTCTCCGATACACAATTCCACATGTGCAATGTACATATATTAATGTATTCTACTTAATGGACAGAACGACATACTTAGCATGCATGTGTAATTGTGTATACTCATTAATTGGGAATTTTGTGGCAATAATTCCGATAGTAATAATTGTTTAGCGTAAACATACACACAGCAGATGAAGTAATTTTATATTATTATTAAAACGATAATGGAATTGAAATAATAACGAAAGTAGTAGATCTACGACCTCGGTTACCTGTAGTAACCACGTATGTACCTTTCTGATTGTTTATCAAATACTTTTGTACATGTGGTTGTTTCTTTTTTCCATTCACATGGCTAGGGTTAAACCCCCAGTCACCTTTCCGATTAAATCAATACACACGTGACTTTTAACGGTATTTCAATAAGGATGGCATGTGTTTGTATTTTGTTTTCTTTGTAACCTAGTTTCTAATTTTCACATAGGAGTACACCCCTAATTAATGAACAACAAAAATAAAGAACACTTAAATTACATTTTTTTAATATGATCAAGACAATTTTGTGTCTACATGTATTTATGTCACAATTACAAACACAAAAAGATCATAGGAGGAAATAAATTCACCCCATTATTCACAGTTGACCTTGAATGTTTAAAAAAAGCACATAAAGGTTTACTAAAATCTTTTCATTTAATGCACATAGCAACAGTTTTATCATAAAAATAATCTAGTTTCCCTATTTCAAAACTACTTCACTTTCAAGTAGGTTTAGATATTTCAGAAATGTTAAGAGATAAAATAAAATCATGCTTGAACACTATTCACAATGTAAGCTTTTTTTACCTTCCAAGAATTACACTGATTTCTGGGAAATTATACCATTGAAACTGATTTTTTTTATCCTGCACAGATTGGTTGCTTAGACACTCATACAAATTTCAGATCGATATTTCCTGCAACTGACATTTCTGTCTATTAACGATTTTTTGAAGCACACACACCTTTGCTGGGTTTATAATGTACCATTAATAATGTTTTATATGATTACATCACGGTAACAGATATACATAAATTGTATTTAATACAGTAAAATAAGAACATATTCACAAGTTGTTGTGAAAAGAATAATACAAATATGCTTATGCAACAGTCAATCAGGCACATGAATGGTTCAGAAACTAAGATTACTTACTTTTAAACAAACGCAAGCTTTATGTATTTAATTTGTTATTAATATTTCTAATACTATTTTATTTAAAAATCATTTAAATTGATGAAATATTGTAGAAATTCATGGACTTGTTGAAAAATTCTTTCACCTTTCATGCATTTTTGTGACATGTAATCTATACAAAAATCTTTAGCGATTTGGACATAGAAAAAAACATGGATGTTATAGAAAACAACAAATTTCTTAAGGCATAAAAAACATTGATTCATATACATTTATCATTTTTTATCAACAATAGATCCACCTTATTTAATTTTGCAGAATAGTTGCACTATATATGAATTTAAATATATGCAAACATAGGCATGCAGTGATGTATATATGACCTACATTATATGTATATGAAAATACATGTATGCTTAACTGACATTTTGACATATACACTTACTATATTGCAAATTACTGTATTTGTTTGCTATTATTTCACATACATAACAATTTGTTAAAGTGATTTATTAAATGGTAGTTACTTATTTTGATAAATATCCTAAATGAATAGTTTCTTTTAAAAAATTGTCTCTAATTATTGATCATCGTCCTGGTCAGCTTCTTTTTCTGAGGTCCAGAGAGTTAGATTGTCCCTTAGCAATTGCATAATTAGGGTGCTATCTTTGTAAGCATCTTCTTGTAAACTGTCTAACTCTGCAATAGCATCGTCAAACGCCAATTTCGCCTTCTCGCAAGCCACTTTAGGATTGTTCATAATCTCATAATGAAACACGGAATAGTTCAGAGCGAGCCCTAGCCGGATCGGGTGGGTGGATGGCATACTTTCAGCATTCTTCATAGCTTCTTCGTAAGCATCTTTCGACTTATTAACGACATCCTCCTTCTTTTCCATCACTTCGGCCAAATAACGATAATAATCGCCTTTCATTTTCAGAAAGAACACTTTACTCTCACTATCCACCGCCTTCTCTATCAGTGTAGAATCGAGTAGACTAATGACGCTTTCACAAATGTCCGTTAATTCTTTTTCTACTTTCATACGGTAATTTTTTGCCGTTTCTTGTTTCTCGCTCGACTCCTTTTGCTCTATACTCGTAAGGACGCGCCATGATGAGCGACGTGCCCCGACCACATTTTTGTAAGCTACCGAGAGTAAATTCCTCTCTTCAGCCGATAAAGCCCCACCTGCCTGGGCGACCTTTTTCATACAATCCGCCATTTCGTCGTATCTTTCTGCCTGTTCCGACAACTTTGCCTTGAACACATTCCTACTTTTTTCATCATCAGCCATTTTGTCACAATTTTTGAACGTTATATCACTGATTTAAACCGAAAAATGTAAGTTTTTCCCCGTCTACATAAACTATCCTTCTGTTTTATTAATACACTGTAATCATTTGGCCTCTTGCCAACTATGCGAATAACAAAATGGAGTCGATAGTACGCACGCAACCATGCAGTACGAAATCGATATCATTCGGCTTATGAATGGCCTATACACGGCGGGCAACTTAAACCGCGGCAGCTCAAAATACGACCATCGGTAAAGAAAAATCGGCAAAATTAATCTACTGCAGTATGTAAGTCAAGGATAAAAAAAAACTCAATTCGGCCAGGGTCTTTCCATTTAATTTGGTGAATAGATAATTTAATTTACAGTATCTATTCAACAACATTTCTAACAGAAATAATGTACGTAGATCTTAAAAAGAGTGAAGCATAATTAAACGAGTATATGTAAGAAACAGAACGGCTACAAAAAGAATAACATTGTTCCTGGTGAAAAAAAAAGAATAAAAAAAAAGTTAAAACGCGACCCTTTGCCAACTTTTGAGTAGCTCTCTTAAAAATTGGCCTGTAAAAAGTTGACCATATTTCAGATTAGATTCCGTTGATTTTATTCCAATAGACCCCGTATTTTTAGTCATCTAGACTGAGTATACATTTTAAAAGACGTTTAAAGAAGAAAAAAATAAATATATAAATTATTTCAGGAAATTTTTAATAAGCCGCTATAAAGCCGAAAATTGTAGCTGACCTGAACATCAAATTTTACACAAATTTCCAGTTTTCTTTCCATTTTTTAAACATTTTCCGGCGAAAAACGATAAATTAGTTTCCGTCGAATACTGTTGAATTTAAGATAATTTTTCTGTTGATGGCGTTGCGATACCTGTAACAGTTGCCAAGGATACGCAACGACGTCATGTTTGAAAACGGGCTTTGGTGGTCAACTTTGACGTCATGTGTACAAAAAATGGCTGAAAATATTGGAATAAAATCAACGGAACCTAAATCTGAAATATGTGCCAGTTTTCAAGACGCTACTCGAAAGGTCGTAAAGTGTCGCGTTCTATCTTAATTGAAATGTGCGCGTAATTTATCGATAACTGTAGACGAATTTTATTGAAATACGTGCTCGCTGTAATTTGTCAATAAGAAACGCAAGTTAAGCGAGATTGAAACATTTTGTACATAGAAGGTATACAAGTAGCCGATAGATAGAAAAGGTTGCATTTGTTTGCAGATAGTCTCTTAACAAAACGAATATAGCATGTGCAAAAATAAAGTGGTGACTTTAAATGATATAGTCTTTCTAAATTTAAATGAATTTAGTTTGTTTTGTGTGTAATTATAAATCGAATTTAGATCTATATGAAATTTGTAACGCTAAACTAACACACGTCGGTAGGTACATGTACATCCAGATCATCAAGTTACAGAAAATTTTAAGGTAGCGTAATTCTGCTTTAATCTTTTACATATTTCGATTTCAATCACGTTTTAATTGATAGTGTTTAATTGATTAGCAATATAAAAATGCTTTACTTTTTGCAGACAGCCCCTGCATCATGGTGAAAGTCACTAAAGGTGGAAATTTCGACTCCGCTCAAAATAACATAAATTTCCACCTCTTTCGAGGTTGTCGAAGAAAATACAATTATATTGTTCCTCTGTTGGTTAACAATCCAATGGTTAAACACTGTTCTGTTACAATGACGACACAAATTATTTGTGTCCGATAGCCAAAGAGAAATACATGTATAACAAGAGATTTTGGAATAGGGGATTCCTGCGCGTAAAAAATATTTAAGCACTCCACCTGATGGGAACAGGCCGGACTGCATGGATTTATAGGTTTTTGTGGCATAGGCATAAAGATATATAGTGATTATATTATTGATTTAAGTTTATTTTCATATGAATTACTATAATAATTATAATGTATATGTATTCAATTAACTACAATTTAGGTATACATTACAAATCACCTTGCGTATATTAGCCTTGAAAAGTCGCTACTTATTTTTAAATTTTGATTGTGGTTAATTTAGTTTCAATGAACAAAATATTTATATTGACAATCACAATTCATTCTCACTGCACACAGTTGACGCGAATAGTTTATTGAAAATTAAATAAGTTAGATACAAAATCTTGTTATATAGGTCTACAAATGGTAAAATACAGATATAGATCGAATGGAATATTCATTTTCTATAACACGTATACGAAATGCTGCAAGACTTGATGAAAAGACACCAAGTTAAGTTATAAATAAATAATTGATCGAGGTAGATTTAAGACGTTCTTATCATCAAATTACAAAACAAAACGACATAAAACGAGAATAAACAGAATATCAAATATTTCTGTGTTGTTGTTTTTTCAAAGCTGTCTCAGAGACGTGGACTTTGTATTGACAAAGAATAATCAATCGCAGTGATATTTAGAAGCAGTTTATGAAGGAAAACTTGTATATCTTCTGACGAGGACATTAATGTTTTTATAGCAGAGGCAACAACTGTAAGGAACTTGCCAACATATGATTTGGAAAGCTATTCCAGAATTAAGTGTTCATCAGGAAGGAAATAAACAAGAACTACAAATAACACTCGTATCCCGACACTATGGATGAAAGACGGACGCTTTTGGAAAGGGCTAAAATTGCCCAGGAGGCGTGTCGCTGGAACGACATGGTAGAATTTATGAAGGGTATCGTAAAGCTTGGCCGAGAATTATCTGTCGAAGAAAGAAATTTGCTGGCAAACGCGTACAAGAATAATGTCGGGTCGAAAAGGGCAGCTTGGCGGGTAATAATGAGTATTGAACAAAATATCGAGGGAGCTAATCGAAAGAGGGATATCAGTAGAGAATACAGAGCTAGAATTGAAGAAGAGTTGAAGACCACTTGTAACGAAGTTCTTGAGCTAATTGAAAAGCATCTTATCAATACCGTAGACATGGAAAATAAGATTTTCTACCATAAGATGCAGGGAGATTACTATAGATACATATCGGAATTTAGTAGAGATACCGCAAACGACAACGTATTTGAAAACGCAAAAATTGCGTATGCGCACGCGTTTGAACTTTGTCGGGAAAATCTTTCTCCTGCGCACCCATTGCGGTTAGGGATTATTTTAAACTTTTCTGTGTTTTATTACGAGATATTAGAAGCGCACGAAACTGCCTGTGACATGGTGAAGGAAAGTTTAGCAGCAGGTGAGGAGGATCTTCATAATATTACACAATCAGCAAGAGGTGATAGTAGCGTTCTTTTACAGCTGCTTGAAGATAATCTAAATATATGGTCAGCGGAAATGAACAACTCACGGATAAGTACATCACCAAAATATTTTTAATGCTAAACCTAGTGTAACCCAAACTTTTCACAATGTGTTTTTCAGAACTATTGCGATAGTCTACATAACAACGGACTTAAATAACATATGCACAGATAATTAACAATTTAATTTAATTTCACCACATTAAAGTTAAGTGAAACAAACAAGCGAAATATTAATATTAAGCATCCGTGAAACGTAAGACAGTTGAAGATTCGATCAGACTTACAAAATGTCTGCTACAAACTATCTATAGTCGAAACATTTAAACTTGGTGTAAATGATAATATAAGTTGGTACAAATGATTTATAAGTTGGTACAAATGATAATATAAGTTGGTACAAGTGATAATTTCAGTGTAACAAAATGAAACGATATGTAAATTTAATGCATTTGATATGCCAGTTGGTGAAAATGAAGTTCTCCCGGAGTTGATATATTGTAAATAAACCAGATATTCCGTGGATTTGAAATATAGTGAATGGGACAACGATTCTCGATTCAAGATAAAACACCCGGATTTTCAGGTTACATATGAAAAAGATATAGATCAAACTAATGCTTATCTTTAAAAAGCAAATGCCAAAATGTAGTAAATTGTTTTTAGTGGTAACCACTATTGAACTGTCGATTTCGGGAGATTTAACATAGAATCATTATACCGGTATACATGTACAATTAAAAAATTTCTGTTTCAATGTTATAGATGTAGTATGGACAAGATAATTTGTTTCAACCAAATTTGTTAACAGACATTTTTTTAAAATGACATTATGCAGCATTGCTCATCCCATTTTCTAAGCCTGAACTGGAATATAAAAAAAATGGTCAAAGGCACTAAACTCGTGTCAAAAGGAAATGTCTGTAAATATCTTTCGGAATATAACAGCAATTAATGTTCAAATTAAAAAGAGTGGGACAGTCTTTTTATATTTTCCAAAACCAACTGTTGGTCGCTTACCATTATAATAGTAAATCATTTGAGATATACATGTATATCAAGCTCTGTTTGACAATAAAAAAAAATTGATAAATGTCACTTTAAGATAATTACATCCGTGGAGATTATAATTTATTCTGCAGGTTTTACTGCTATAGTATTTCAATTATTGGACTCACAAGTCACCTTCAGCAGTTTGTACATTTTTTTATTCAGTTTGCACATCTTGTATAATATTTGCACATTTTTTTTTTATTTTTGACATTTTTTTCTGTACTGCATTTTAAACTAAAATTAAAAACAAACAGATCACTATCAATTTACAAACATTAATTCTTTATATAAACAAGGCAGTCTGAATAAAAGCTAAACCCCTTCCCAGTAAACATGTTTGTGTACTTCTTGACCTTTAACCAACCATGACCTTGTGCCATGCATATCAGAAGCAGGTAGTCTCACATGGTGATTATATGTGCCAAATTATTTAAAATCTTCCAGTCAAAGAGTTAGCAAAGGGGGTAGCAACCTGGATATTATGCTCTGCAGAGTGTGTCATGGTGGGGATCATTTGTGGTGAGTAATTTTAAACAAGAAGTTATAGAGCAGACATGAAATTTAGATGTTTTTATATTGGACCTTTGAGTGTGACCCTGACCTTGACTGTTTTTGACTTGATTACTGGGCTCTACCAATGTTGTTATAATGGTGATCATTTCTGCCAAGTTATCTGAAAAACATTGCAGCGGTTTCAATGTTGTGGAGCGGACATGAAATGTAGACTTTCTAACATTTGACCTTTAAGTGTGACCTTGACTTTGGGGGTAGCAACTCAATTATTGCGCTCTGCACATTGTCTCATAAAGGTGATCAGTTGTGCCAAGTTTTTCAAACAAAATTTTAGCAGTTAAAAAGTTATGAAGTGGACACAAAATGTAGACTTTTTTCAACACTTGACTTTAAGTGTGACCTTGACCTTGGGGGTAGCAACCAAATTATTGCGCTCTGCACATTGTTTCATAATGGGAATAACTTGTGCCAAGTTATTTAAAAAAACTTTTCAGCTGTTTAAAAGTTATGAAGCACACACGAAATGTAAACTTTTCAACACTTGACCTTTAAGTGTGACCTTGACCTTGGGGGTAGCAACCCAATTATTGCGCTCTGCACATTGTCTCATTAGGGTGATCACTTCTGCCAAGTGTTACTGACAGACGGATGGATGGACAGACAGACAGACGGAGGCCATTCCTACAATCCACTCCCCATCCTTGCTACGCGGGGACCAATTGACCATTATAGAGTTCACCTGACTATCATAGCTCTACATGATAAGTAACAATTAACATTAATAACTATCGATCAAATGCAGGTATTGTGTAAAAAGCTAGGTCAACAGCTACTGATTTCAAAGTTCAAATTTGCATCTGAAAAAAGTGTACAAGTTAAAAACAAGCAATTATCATAGTATTACAAGCAATTCATAAGTCCTCTACCAGTTAGAACCCCAGCAACATTCTGAAGGGCCATTGGTCACTGAATTGTGTCATTGAGTGAATGACATGAATAAACTTAAATCTTTTGAGTTCTTAGTTTGTCTGTATCTAAGTAATATGTTAAGTTTCCCTAATCATGTTTATAGAACAGATAATCAAAAGATCCAATTTTCTCAGGATGAATATGTATACCAGTCCTGATGTTTCAACTTTTCTCTATTTTAAGTAAATTTATTGGAAAACTTCAAAGTTCTTTAAAAGTGATCTCAGGAAACAGTTTTTAGAAACGGACAGACAGACCAACTGACAGAGACTCTGAGGATAAATCTTTAAACATCCCTGGTTGTTACAAGAATATAACATTTTTAGAAGCAAAATTCTTACGAGGAGGTAACTCTTGAAATAAAGATGCTAGACTTATGAACATGATGTGAGTGTAACAAAGAACAATTTTCTCAAGTTAAAGAAGATACCATTTATAGTCACAAAAAAGAAAAGTGAAGAAACAAAAAATAAAAAAATATACCATTGATAGTAACAAAGAAGAAAATTAAAAGAAAAATTCAAGTAAATTTCAAGTCGGCATGAAAATAATCATGGAAACCCATGTCTTATAAATCTAATCACATATGAGGTCTTGATAATGAATGTCTTTTTTAAATTTGAAGTAAATCCATGGAGAAATAAGAAAGATAAAGAATGAGTAAGAAAAAATCAAAAGTCTAAAGAGGAGATAATTCTGGAAATATGGACGCTAGATTTACTATTGTACTATTATTATGATGTGGGGGTTTGAAGGAAATGCAAGAATGAAGAAGTTTGAGTAAAACAGAAAACAATCTACATGTAAGTTCAAGGGGACATAATTCTGAAAATAATCAAGCTAGAGTATTGAATCTTCTCCCAAATGACTTGAATAATAATAAGACACATATATATGAAGTAAAAAATAGATACATCATGAAATGAAGAAGTTAGAAAAAAAACATCATTTTTTTCATGAAAATTCTAAGTTCAAGGGGGGTAATTCTGAAAATGTTTGTATTAGAGTTGTAAACCTTGTCACATATGATGAGGTTGATGATCAGAAACATATATTTTTAGTTTCATAACAAAGTTTTCACTACTTTTTGAGTAATGACAAATATTGTTATATTTGCCATATTTTAAGCCTATTTGTTGCCATAGCAACCAAATTTTTCAACACAGGAAGAAAAGAAAGAGACGTGCATAATCTCCAGACTGCCATCTATCTACATATCAAGTTTCATAAAAATATTTTCAGTACTTTTTGCTTTATAAATTGTACAATTTTCCAAAATCCTTACTTAGCAGTATTAATGATAATTTTCCCAAAATCAGTGAGAAAAAACACAGCCTGTAAAGTTTGGTCAAAATCCATCAAATGGTTTAGGAGAAGTTATTTAAAGAATTTGTACATATATAACTATGATTGGCAGTTAAACTGCCATCAAAAGTTCCCTCCTGAGCATCCTTGGTGCTCAGGTGAGTAAAAAAATACATGATAAAATACAAAACAATGTAAAATTATTTTTTTATTAAAATTTTGAAAACCTAAAGTCCCCTCTGGTTAAACCGGTAGGGGACTAAAAAGTCACTGGTTACTATGGAAGTCACTTGTTGTTAAGGAAAATCAATGGTTGCTATGGAAAATGCCAAAATATCTAAACTCTAGCATTTGGGGGTTCTAAGAAGTTTCTGTTAGATTTTAATATATACATAAAAGGAAAAACAAATGAACCCCAGGGGCAAGGCTAATTCTGACTCAAGGTCTATAATTTGAACTAACATGGTTACAGGTTTACTAGTCAATGTTCCTTTCCAAATATCTACGCTGTAGGCAATTGTGCTTTGGAAAAGATTAAAGATTGCATTTTTAACTAACTTTTGTTTAGGTCACCTTAAGATCATACCTGTCCGTGATTTTTCACTTTATATAATTAAGGTCTATAAAAAACATCTTCCCAATAAAAAAATTCTTTAAAAATTGTATAATTTTCCAAAATCCTTACTTAGCAATATTAATGATAATTTTCCCAAAATCAGTGAGAAAAAACACAGCCTGTAAAGTTTGGTCAAAATCCATCAAATGGTTTAGGAGAAGTTATTTAAAGAATTTGTACATATATAACTATGATTGGCAGTTAAACTGCCATCAAAAGTTCCCTCCTGAGCACTTGGTGCTCAGGTGAGTAAAAAAATACATGATAAAATACAAAACAATGTAAAATTATTTTTTATTAAAATTTTGATGATTACCAGACTTATCACTTGTCTAAGGGTAATGTTAATTTTGACAGCTTTATTTACATACATAAACACTCTTTCAATCATTTAGTCATTTTGAAAGGCATAGTTATTCCCTTTCTTCTAAGGCGTTTCCTGCGGCTCGACGGGTGCACGAGCATCTGAAACAACAATACATCCTCTATTAATAATCTGGAACAAATTAATTATAGTCTTCATTTTTAATGATAATATTAATAATGTCAATTCAAATCCATAAATAAATAACAAAGTTATAACAATTAAACAAATTTCAAATATTTGACCTTGCCAATCAAGGTTTTAAATGTCCTTTTGTCCAAGTATAAATCAAATTCATGAATAGGTAACAGTTATGGCCAGTTTTAGCAAAATTCACTAATTTGACCTTAAGTGTCAAGGTCAAATTAAGGTCAAGGTTACGTTCAATTAAATTTTCTTTAATGTCTTGTCCAAAAAATTCTTGTGTCCAAGTATGAAGACAATATATTATTTACAAAGTTATTGCTAATCATAATAGCCAATTACAGCAAAAATCAAGCAAAACTCAAACATTTGACCTTGAAGGTCATTTACGAATAAAGGTCAAGTTTTGTCTGGTCCCCTTGAAGGTCCTGTCCAAAGCTTTGTTGTGTCCAAGTATGAAGACAATTCATTAAGAAATAAAAATTGGCCAATGTTTCTGGAGGGTAATGGCAACAAGCATTAACCTGACAGTATGCAGCAAAAGCTTGATAAAATAAAGCTAAAAATAAATAATAGAAGTAATATTAGTACTGTTTGTACCTACTCTGTCCTGTAACGTAAGGTAAGTATTTGGTGATAAGGAGAAAGATACGGATTTGTTACTGGCGTCTGACTCTCTTGTGAAATATTTTGATGGTGGCAAACTCTCATCTTCTGAAACACTGTCTAATCTGCGACTGTATATGAAAATAAAAATACACTCATGTTTATATTGTTTTTTTTTACATTAAACTACTCAAGACATTTGTGTGGTCTTATGCCAAAGGGAACTAACCCACAAAATCTTAAGAAATGAGTTCCATGACCATATGTACTCTTCATAAAAATCTCTATTATTTAGTCTGGTTTCCTAGCTTCCTATAGTAAAAAATGTGGGAAAATTCAAACATGTGAACTATCCCACTTCAACAGTAAGTCTTTACATACAAGTTTGCCAGAGCGAACCAGGAACCAATAGTGCTTGATAAGTGTGTATGTTGTTGGCACAAATTTTCAGGGTACACAGGCATTCAGGGCAAACATTTTTATTGCCTGTATATGAACCTTTAACGATCATTCTGTTCTTTTATATTGTTGAATGTACACTAAATGAATGAAACTGTTACAGATGAGGAAAATTCTGACTATGAAATATCACAGAAAGATATAAATAACAGCAATGAAGAAAAAGAAGTTGACCAAAGCTACCATGTAAAATATCCAGTGGAACATACAGGTATTGGTGCGGCTTGTAATAACACAGGTATTATTGAGGCAGATATAAACATTATTGATTCCCAAGAAACAAGATCAATAAACTCTGTTAGTGAACCTATCGTTAATAACAATAAGAGAAAAAGGAGGGCCCCTGAAACATGGAAAAAAATGTCAGAAAGGAGAAACGAAACAAAGGTAAATCCTATACTACAGTAAGTGGCACAATAAAGCCAGAGAAAATGTTTAAAGACTATGAATGTTTCTGTCCAATGTAATTTGGAGTGGTAATTGGGAAATACAAACAATCTACATAAATGCACACGTTAAGTGACACAGTCTGGAAAGGAGGTATACTGACAAAGGTAGAAATTCTAGAAGACAGAATTCTCGATATTATTATCTTAATGACTCAAATGGTACCAAGAAAAGAATTTGTAAGAATATGTTTATGAACACTCTACAGGTCGATAGTGCTCGAATACACAGAGCTATTGAAAAAATGAAAAGCGGAAACCTGAAAGACTTGAGAGGGAGGCATGAGCCTAGTAATAAAGTAAGTCAAGATAAAGTTGATTTAGTCAAAACCCATATAAATAGTTTTCCTAAGTACACCTCACATTATTGCAGAAGAGATACTGAACGCCAATATCTTTCACCAGATCTAAACCTAACGAAAATGTACAATCTTTATAGAGAATGGTGTTCTGAAAACAGCTTTGAGTATGTAAGCATGTCAATGTATAACAAAGTTTTCTATGATAACTTTAACTATTTTTTTAAAACACCAGAAAATGATTCCTTCAAAACATGTGATGCAAATAAAATAGCACTAATGGTAGATGATTACGAAAAACGGAAGGAAATTGAAAAGAAACATACTGAGCATTTAAACATTAGTAAAATAGCACGTGAAGCCTTTAAATTTGATCAGAATGTAGTCAAAACAGATAAAAAGCAAGTCACAATTACATTTGATCTTCAAAAAACTTTACCAACCCCTAGAATTCAGACCAGTTTGGCTTACTACAAGAGGCAATTATGGGTTTATAACCTAGGAATACACTCATATCAAAGTGATGATGAAAAAAGTTACATGTTTATGTGGCATGAAGCTGTTGCATCTCGCGGGGCTCAAGAGGTTTCTTCATGTTTGAAATATTTTACAAAGAATTTCCTCGATAGTGAAATCAATCATCTGACTGCCTGGTCTGATTCGTGCGGTGGACAGAACCGAAACATAAAAGTTTGTTCATAATGGATGCATTTAGTTGCAACCACATCTCTTGAAACTGTTGACCATAAATTTCTCGTTAGTGGCCATTCCTATTTACCTTGTGATAGTGATTTTGGAGACATTGAACGTTCCCTTAAGTATAATCCTAACATGTATGTTCCGACTGAATGGTATGATTTGGTACGTAAATCAAGAAGCAAGCACCCATTCAAAGTCATAGAGATGTCTTGCAATGATTTCTTTTCAACAAAAAAATTAGAAAAATCCATTATTATAGACAGAAAAAAGAATGCCAACAACGAAAAGGTAGAGTGGCTGAAGATTAGGCATATAAGGTTTCAGAAGTCAAGACCATACATAATGCAGTACAAGTACACACATGAAGAAACAGAGTTTAATGAGGTCAACTTTGCACCCAAACGACGAAGCTGTGGACAGGAAGTTCCGGGTATTGATGTTGAAGTTGGTTTGCTGTATCCAAATGGAAGAAAAATAAGTCAAGAGAAGGCAAAGGACCTTAAGGAACGTTTGCCTTACATTCCACCTGTGCATCACAGTTTTTATAAATCATAAGAAGTTGACAGATCTATAGAGAATGACGATCTTTGTGGAAACAGTATTGACTATAACTTAGAATAATTTTCTTGTTTCTCATTCCAGTGCGACTGACAGACTTGCCGAATGAGTTGCTCTTGAAAGTTCTTGGAAATTTGGCGACAAAAGAATTGCTCAAGGTTGCTGTCACTTGCAAATTTCTTTACAAAGTTGCACACGACAAGCAGTTGTGGAAAAATGTCACCATGGAAATACCACAGGATTCTTTGTATGATGACAATAGTTTTGGACATTTACTTGATATGCATGCTCAACATATAAATATTTTGAAATTTAAAAGCGTCAAAGGTCAAATGTATGATATCAATGGAAACCCTGCTGCTATAAATCTTCATGTTCAATTTCAGTTGTGTCGTTGCAGCAGTATAACATTCGTTGACTTAAGCAGGAATTTGTTAGTGCAAAATCTAAGTTTTGTTAAATGTATGCCACATTTAAATTTTTTAGATATAAGTGGATGCAACTTTATTGATTCTTCAGAAATACATCATTTATCATGTCACCCAGGACTGAAAAAACTTGAAATGACAAATTTTGAATTTCTTCGGTTGAATAAATCTATTGTAGTTGACTTACCACAAGTTGTCAATATCACAGAACTTAATATTGTACGAAGTACATATCTATCGCCTGACCAGTGTACTTTAATGCTTAGTAAGAGCCACCTGAAGGTTTTAAAATTCTCATCCAAATGAAAGAAACCACCTGCTTGGTGTGTTTTCTATGAAGCTTATCAACATATTGAATTTGGATTGGATTTTCAAGCAGTTTATATGTGTCAGAAAAATGAATTCCGATCTCAAAGATTTATAGACATTAATAAAGCGCCATTATGGGATACCTGGAACAGTGATGAATCAGATGATGATTTGAATTAATGTTGTTCAATTTCAATTGTTCTTACTAGTTTGATTTTTTAAAACTTCAATAGCTTGGATTAGTTCACTTGTGATGTTACATATACACAAATGCCAGAATGAACTATTCCACAAAATCATGGTTTTAAAAAAAGCCACATAAGCAGTATTAAATAAATAGTTGAGAAACAATTCTTCTTTGTCTATATTTTATTTTGTAAAAGTAAAATATTGTCTCCCTGAAATATATTTTGTTGGGGGATTTGGAAACCTTCAGTGGCAATATTCTGAAAATCGAAAGTATAAGGGTTAGTCCCATCTGGCATCAGACCACTCATTTATCATATACCTGTAAGTATGGTCTGTCATACTAATAGTCTGTGACTTTACTGGTAACCTGCTCGCTCATGGCTAGAAGAATTTAAGGCAGATTTTCCAAGTTACTAGCCCAACTAGTCAGTGGAAAATTACCAGTCAATTAATTTATTTCTAAAAATGAAATTTACCGAATTTCTAATTAAACACCTTAGATATCCATGATCAAGGGAATAAAATAACAAAACAACTGTTTTAATCATGATTTTAAATGTTCTTTGGACCTGTGATTTGAAAAACATTTTTAGGGCTAGTTAATATTAATAATTATCAACCAGTAATACAAATGGCCTGTGGTTTTCAAACACTGTATCAAATACTCACTTCACTATGAGATAAATCCCAGATATAGACATTAAAAGACAAATCAAAAAGTAAGAAGCAATTATGATTTGCAATTTTCATTATTTTCTTTGTTTTATACCAGCCTTGTAAATATAGTACAATAAAATATGCATGATTCATGTTTTATTATTTTAGCTCTAACAGAACCAACAATAGATTATGGTTTTCAAAGATTAATGAAACTTATTCAGATATATCCCAAATAAGCCACAAAACAACAACAAAACAGCCTTAATTTTTTACCTGTAATTCCTCTTTTGAAATTCTCTGGGATTCTCTGTGTCATTAGAGCGGACAGATACAGGCTCCTCATATGTATTATCAAGTAAACCTTCAGACTCTTCATCAATACCTTCATATAAACCTCGAGATATCTTTTTAGGAGACATTTCAATATTTATATATGGTGAGTTTTCCTAAAAAAATAACATCTTTAAGTAAATTTATACATTCCAACATTGACATACAATGAATTGTGTAGCCCTGTAACAGATCTGGTCTCAAGGTCATAAATCTTTTTTTCTGATTTTTTTTTTCTCAAATTCCAAAAATGTCCTTGGTCAGTGTAGATTTTGTGGCAGTTTCAGGCCAATCAAATACATGAACCTGAGATCAAAGTTTGAGCTTAGAGAATTTCCTCTTAACATAGTACCATAGCTAGTCTTGCCAATTTGGGAAATTTTTGAGTCATGAAATTTGGTAAATTGGATAAAAGAATACTGATAACATAACTAAAATTGGAAAAATACTTGAGTAAGTTTTTGAAAATGCAAATTTTTGAATAAATAGTTGTTGGAGCTATTTCATAAATGACAATTTATGTATAAATAATAACTTCACTGTATTGATAAATGAAGCAAGATCTATCTACATGTATATACATACCCTAACTTTAGAATGCGCATTTCTATTTGTTGTATATACATCTGGGTTTACTTCAATCATCTGCTCTAAATACTTAGTTGAGGCATTTTCCTTTTTCTTTCTTTGGTTTATTTTCTTTGAACATGATTTCAGGAAAGCACTGTAAAATTTGTTATTCAAATGGGTTTTGCATTCAACTTTATTGCTGCACTGGTCTCATTCAACCATAATCCAACTGAGATTCTGAATATGAAGCAATTCATTGCTCCTTTAAGGGATTTATTTACTAATACACTTAAAGAAAGTAGCAAACTGTACAGAATGTACGGTCTGGTCTGGTGCTATCCTGGAGGCATATGCCGACCATTTTTGCTGATGAAGATACAGTTTGTACATGTGTAGTAAATTTTAATATTAACATAAACTTGTACAATTCCTTTTGAATCTGAAGTAAAATGCAAGTACTACATGTATGTATATTTGAACCGTCTAATACAAAAAAAGGGCAATGACAGCCCACATTTGCCCACCTGAGTCTAATTAGTATAGTTCATTCAAACATTTATTCATTTTTACAAAAATTGGTAAAATCAAAACAAAATAGTGACTTCTAGAGGCATTTTGATTTGTATATTAATTAACATTTACATGCTTTAGAAAGGGTTACAAATGCTGAAAACATGAAAAAAAAAACTTTATTTTTGGAAATTTCTGCCTTAGAATATCCTTGAAATGGTAGTGAGACAAATTGAAAACTTTCCAAATGAAGATTTTTATTTTTATTATAAAATAAAAAAGAGTTGAAGATTTTGGTGAATATCCTAGTCTATGGACCTGGCTAAATGTGATATTCACTGAGGCTAAAGCTCTGTAGATTTGTGTATTCACCTCATCACCATACAATAACTGCATACCAATACAATGACATTTAAAATGCTTTGGAAAAATAGCTTGACCTGAACAAACAGAAAAAAAATTGACAGGAGTTGTAAATGAAGGTTGTGGCCCTGTTTTCTTCTTTTTTACCCCTTAACCTGCTTGAACTGAAAGTAATAAGCCTTTGCCACAAGTCTAGAGCCTGGACAGCTTTCACATGTATGCTCTCTGACCAGGTCCTATACTTATAGAAGCTCAATGTTTGTCTTTTGATATGGAAATTTTTGATTTTTTAAAATTTCAAATGGACTGTTTTCAAATTCAAATCTGGGCAAATCCATAACATAAACATAGCAGGTTTAGAGTTAAAGAAATTTACAATATGTAATACCTGAAAGGAGAACTCATTGGTTTCTTTTTTCTCCCTTGTTCTGATCGATCATCTAAATTTAGGTCACCTGGCGGCCGTTTTGTTTCAAATTGTTTTTTTGCCCTATCTGAACCCTGAAAATATATTTGAACTTTGACCTATCACAGACCTGACCTTGAAATTTCAATGACCTCCAACTGACAAGACCTTGACCCAATACCAACTTGACCTATCATCCGTGTATGGTTTATCTAGAGAAGACACTTCTGCTTAAACAATTCAAAGTTGTTAGGTTTTAATATATTTTGTTTTCCAAACTAAAATAAATTTACAGTCAGTGTTTTTGAAAGTAAACCTTGACCTTGTATACCATATCTTTTTAATAATACTTTCTTGTCATGTTTGAACACATTGCTTGTTTAGGAGCCTAACATAATATCATAACCCTTTTTTTCTATTTTTTTTCTTTTCTTTTTATGTTGTGTTAAACTTATGTTACTCCTCACTATCAAAGTAATATAGTGACTCTCCAGAATTACTGGTGGAGGAAAAACAACACATACTTGGAATATACTTAGAAGAACCACACATCATGTGTGAAATGAATTCCACTGCAGGATTCAAACCTACTGCTATGAGGGACAAGTGCTATGATGTCCCTTGACATGGGGCATAGTTATAAAGATTTAAGATTTTAACAAAGGGTCCTTCACAATAAATTATTGATAATTATGATCTATAAATATAGCAAATGTAACACTGAATTAGATTTATGCAAATGTAGTATGTAAAGTTCAATTTTATGTATTGAATTTGATACATTTAACAACTGTCCTTCTTTATTTTTTTTTTCAAATTTTTTAAAACATTAAGGAATTGAGTTAATGAGCAACCAAGCAAAAAATGGAAGACAAAGTACAACAATAGCCTGGTTTGAACCTAGTGATGCTCCCCGAATAGGTTTTAGACACAGAAAATTACACCTCTTGTAGTTTCAGAGTCCCTTTAAAGTGCATTATTTCATGCTTTCCAGTGTTTTATTGTAATATATCAGATGATTATATTCTGATAAACCACTAGTGAAATTTATAAAATATAATTTTCACTGTAGCCGGACTATATCTGAATGCGGATGAAAAGAAAATCATAACTAAATGGAAAAACAGGCAGAAATAAGTGCCGTCATGCGTCAATTTTGCTTCTTTAGGAAAAGAAAGTCGATGTTACCATACATCATGTTAAAAATGTAGCAAAAGTAGTGAAATTTAACAGAACTATATTTCAAAATTGATGATGTGACGTCATGATGTGATGACGTCACAAAGGAGAATGCGCGACGTTACGCGGTAAAATCAGTAAAACAATACTTAAAATCACTTAAAAAGCATGAAATAAAAAGAAAATTTATTTGTTTTACATATAAGATTGAAATATATTTCATTTGTGAACACCAGCTATTATATTTTCACTCGTTCGTGGCTACGCCACTCGTGAAAATATTGCATCTGGTGTTCACTCAGTGAAATTATATTTCAATCTTACATGCAAAACAAACAAATATCCTCTATATAACTCCAAAATTAGGCAAGTTCTTGTGCACTGAACATCTACCCAATGAGACCTATCTATCTACAAAGTGTCTTGTTCATATCTCTTATACTTTCAGAGCTATGTCCTAGACAATGTTCAAAGTGTAAAAAATGAACAAAGGGCAATTACTCCAAAATTAAGGCAGGCAGAGTTACAGTTCTTTATACTGTACTTCCATTTAATGAGATATATCTACTTACATAATTTTTTGTTGATACCTCCTATGGTTTCAGAACTATGTCCCGGACAAAGTTTAAAGTGAATAAATGAACAAAGGGCAATAACTCCAAAATTAGGTAAGGCAGAGTTATGGTTATTTTGCCCTGCATTAATATCCAGTGTCTATTTTAGGATTTGAAAAACAGGGGGGATTTTTATCGAAAAGTGAGAATTTATTACATTTACTGATTTTTTTCCTTCTTTCTCTATGTAATATTTTCATCAATAGGGGGGAATTCTCAAAAATAGGAGTGAATCCCCCGATCCCCCTCCTAGAATAGACACTGAATATCCAATGAGATCTATCTACCTACAAAGTTTCATGTCACTATTACTTATAGTTTCAGAGTTATGTCCCGGACAAGATTTTTCTAAAAGGGGAGATTTTTAAAAAAACAAGAGGGCCATGATGGCCCTGAGGTCGCTCACCTGTATATAGGCCCCTGGAGCGGGGCAAGTTTAAACCCCAAGGCTTTTATTTGAACAAACTTTGAAGACACCCATAAGAAGATGTTTCATGATGTTAAGATTTTACTACACACATATAATGAAAAACAATGATCTGCCCCTCCCCCCCACCACCCCCTGCAGGGCCAATTTTAACCCAAGGGCTTTTATTTGAACAAACTTGGTAGACACCTATAAGAAGATGTTTCATGCTAAACATCTTAGCTGTTGCTCATTGGGTTTTTTAAAAGAAGATTTTTTAAGTTTTTACTATACACATATAGTTAAAAACAATGACACCCCTGGGGCGGGACCAGTTTTGACCCCAGGGCTTTTATTTGAACAAACTTTGTAGACACTTACTAGAACATGTTTCATGCTTAATATCTAAACTCTAGCTATTTGGGTTTTTTCAAAAAAGATTTTTAAGTTTTTGCTATACACATATAAGGAAAATCAATGACCCCCGGGGCGGGGCCAATTTTGACCCCAGGGCTTTTATTTGAACAAACTTGGTAGACATTCATTAGAACATGTTTCATGCTAAATATCTTAGCTCTAGCTCTTTGGGCTTTTTAAAAAAAGATATTTAAAGTTTATCCTTTCGGTTGCCATGGCAACCAGAGTTCTGCATGGAATTAAATTCTTTGAACAATTTTTAAAGGTGACCACCAAAGGAACATTCCTGTGAAGTTTGGATGAAATTGGCTTAGTGGTTTATGAGGAGATGTCATTTAAAGTAAAAGTTTATGGACGGACGGACGCCGGACGAAAAGCGATCACAAAAGCTCACCCTGTCACTTTGTGACAGGTGAGCTAAAAAAAAACCACGGAAAAACAGAGTTATGGTTCTTTTGCACTGCACTTCTACCAAATGAGATCTATCTACCTAAAAAGTGTCATGTTGATATCTCTTATAATTATTAAGTTATGTCCCAGACAATGTTCAAAGTGTAAAAATTAACAAAGGGCAATAACTCCAAAATTAGGCAAGGCAGAGTTATCGTTATTGTGCACTGCACATCTACCCATTGACATCTATCTACCTACCAAGTTTCATGTTGATATCTCTTATAGTTTTAGAGTTATGTCCTGGACAAGATTTTTCTGAAAGGGACACTGCACTCCGCCTCCATGCCCTCTTCCACTGCGTGAAGTTTAAACAAATCATCTCCAAGGGTTTTTATGTTATGGTCTGGACAAGCACAACAGATGGACAGACGGACATGCGATCGAATTTGGATAAAGGGCCATTTCTATTGTTATTTTCTTTCTTTTTAATAGAGAGCCATTGGCCCTTTCCTTAATTGTTACAGAATGAACTCTTGTTCTCTTTTGTTCTGTTTATAGTAAGATGCCCCTCTAACCTTATTTTGTAGTGCAGACAGACGGACAGACAGATAGGGCGGACAGACAGACAAGGCGGTGACTATATGCTCTACCTTCGGGAAGCATAATTAATAAATACTTCACAGGTAAATTGAGCTTAAATATGAATTAAAGAAAATTGTGAGAAGACTTACCCTGCAGAATATAAGTACAACAACAACAAGAATGTTTAGCAGTAGAATGATCATGAAAACTCCAAGCTTGAACTGGTCAACTGGCATATCTAGATCTATCCAATGCTGTCTTACCTAGAAATACAGATTCAATGAGGTAAATTGTCTTTCATTGGAGAAATTAAAAAAAAAATTGCACATAAATTGTAACTTTAATTTGTTTAATCAAAATGACACTTAATCAAAATCTCTACTTGGTTTCTCAGAGAGACCGAATGAAACAAGAACATTCTGGGAGTTGGTGAGAACTAGTGTCTTAGAGTGAGAAATAAAGGGAAGTAACTAATTAGAATTAGACTGAAAGTTAACTAAAGTTATCTAATCTTGACAAAAAAATCACTGTCTCCTACAAGGTATGACATTTGCTTCTTTGCAAAACTAAACCAGTGCCATTATAAATTAGTAAACAATGGATATGGTTCAAACCTGCAATCCTGAGATCAAGAGGGGAACTGTCTGATACAAGTCACAAAGTTAAAACAACACTTTCTATCATTACACATACATGTGAATATAAAAATCAAACTTACTTACAGTGTAAATGTCCTTGACATTTTCAACACCTGCAAAAATACAAATAGTTGCAGCAATATTTAATACACATATGAGCCGCGTCATGACAAAACCAACATAATGTGTTTGCGACCAGCATGGATCCAGACCAGCCTGCGCATCCGCGCAGTCTGGTCAGGATCCATGCTGTTCGCTATCAGTTTCTTTACTTGTTATAGGGTCTGTAAGCGAACAGCATGGATCCTGATCAGACTGCGCGGATGCGCAGGCTGGTCTGGATCCATGCTGGTCGCAAACCCATTATGTTGGTTTTGTCGTGACGCGGCTCATATTTAATCTAACAGTGACATTTTTTTTATGACAGCCTATTAAATTGGAATATTGAGCACTATTTCAAAAAGGAAAATGGGAAAATTTTAACATTTTTAACCGTAAAACCTTTTTTTTTCAAACAAATATATTTTGTTTGATAATAATCATAAACAATACTTTTCATAATAAGTCAAATAAGCCTAAGAAGTTGAGCTGTCTAGAAGGAATCTTCACAATTTTTTTGGGAGTTGTCAAAGATTTTTTCAACCTCTATCCAACCTCTATTTTAGCTGGGATAAATGATATAAATACACCAACGAAATAGTGATTCTTTTTTTAATGTTAGCAGTTCTTATTTTAGATATTTGGTAAATAGAATATTATATTAGATTTAGGTTTATCAAACTCGTTAATTAAATAATATTATGCTCTCATTCAATATCCTCTTTTTATTTTACAGACAATAACTAATAATGTTTTTAAGTTTTACAGCTAATTCAATTATGACTATTTTCTAATATCTAAATTAACTGTTACAAAAAGAAACTTCTAATTAAAGAATAAAAAATTCTCCCTCACAAAAAAGAATATAAAGAACTTACCATTGACTTTTGATAGGGAGATGGGTGGATAATTTACAGTCTGTTTTACAGTCTGTATTTCTGGTACAACTTCCACCCATGACACAGTTCCACCTGAAATATTCTTACTTTAACTTAAAGGTAGGTTAGATCTCTCCAGAATAATAAAAGCATATATAAATATAGGTGAAAATGGCACACACTGTTCATGTGTAATAATAAAAATAAATAAATATACTTGATTTATCCAAGGCCTTGAATTTAACAGTTACCGCTATAATAGTTGCCCTCGAGTTAGATATATTTCAGTTTGTACTGCTAGCTATTAGATATTTTATAGTATTTTCTCCTAGTGCTCCAATTCAAGTCAATTGTATGAATATTTGATAAAAACATAAACAAACATCTCATATTTGTTAATAAGATAGAAAAATACCACAGAATCAATAATTTATATTATATAATGACAGTGTTTTTTTTCTTTATATAACTACTACCCTAAAACGGTACTGTTCCCAATAGAAAATAGACATTAAAATTCCCAATTTCCAATGTTTAAATTCCCAAAATGGCTGTTCAACATAACCACAAGGCCAAGTGATTTCTCTGAAATCATTTAAATCCAACATATTCATATATAAATAACCACTCAATAGTTCTCCCTGGACAGTGGAAGCTGTTAGTTGTCTATATTTATGATGACTAATCTTATGTCTAGCTGAAAAAATGCTTTGAAAAATTCCCAATTTAAGTCAAAATAACGCATTTTTTCCCAATCAGTCTGGCACCGGCACCATTTCCAAAGTAGAGAAAAAAAAAACACTGAATGATAATAACAAGCAATGTATGATGTATTATTACTCACTGTTTATCAATCACTTTGGAAGTTAATAGTTTTATAATAGTCTTTATAGTCCTGGATATTGATAAGTTAACAGAAATCCTTATTTCATTCAAAATCGGTTCAAAATCCATTGCCACAGTTATGGGTCTTTGAAAGAGACCATGACTTGTAATTCAGAAAGTATGAATCAAGTTTTAAGTGAATACAATCAGCAGCTTTATGAAAGATTAATGTTGCAAGCAAAACTTATATCAAATTTTTTCTAAATTAACAAAGGGTCATAATTCATTCAAAATTCATGTCAAGAGTTATGTGCCTTTGACAGTTACACCCAGTTCACCCAGATCCAAAAAAAACCAACATTTATTAAGTTTCATGTGAATACCTTGTTAAAGTGATATCTGGTTATGATCCAGAAGTGATGCATTAAGTTTTTATAAGAGAATACCTTCAGTAGTTTTGTTGCATGAAAAACTTTTACAAAGAATTTTCAAGTTCAAAATATGAGCCGCATCATGACAAAACCAACATAATGGGTTTGCGACCAGCATGGATCCAGACCAGCCTGCGCATCCGCATAGACTGATCAGGATCCATGCTGTTCGCTTACCAACCCTATTACAAGTAGAGAAACTGATAGCGAACAGCATGGATCCTTATCAGACTGCGCGGATGCGCAGGCTGGTCTGGATCCATGCTGGTCGCAAACCCACTATGTTGGTTTTGTGGTGACGCGGCTCATATTTAGCAAAGTGTTACACTGACACCAATGCCAAGCCCTACGTAAATAGGATAGCCCTTCCATTTTTTTAATAGTTTAGCTAAAAAGGGGTTAAGCTGAAATCAAACACGAACAGTTTAAAATGTAACACAGCAATACTTTAAATCAAATTTTCCGTTTCAAATTTAGATGTTTTTTTTCAATTAGTTGTTTATTTGGTTATTCAACTTTTTTTTACTGCAGTTACATATCTTTTCTGACCAAGGGGAAAATTTTGCTCAATGTTTGGGGAAAATATAGCATGACAGAGTATTGTTTCATCCAGTGCTCCGTGTAACATATAAATATTTTGACAGTAATATTCCAAGCTTCCTGTGTTCTCTCTGGTCTAAGTAAGAGATGTTTTAATGTACATATGAAGCTACCATGAAGGTGGCAACTTACTTTTCCCAGGCTTACCAATGAAATCACCATAAGCATGTCTTTTGCTTTTTTTACTCAATGTTCCGGTTATTATCGCTTGTTTAAGAGAAGCTGCTTGTGATTTTCTTATTGCTTCCTTTTCTGAAAACATACATAATCCTTCATTAATAAGTAATGTTTCATTACTTTTGATTTGATTTTAAGTATTAGAATCTTAAACTGTAATGGCAATTTCGAGTTTTAAATTCAAGAGAAAGACCTCAGTTTTCACTCCATGCCTTAAATTTTTTCAGGCATGGGCGGGAATCGTGATTAAACAAATAGTAACCCTATGCAAATCATGTTTTAAAATGTAATTTATTAGGACTATCACTGACGGAAAATGTTGTATCTGTAGACCAAAAGCTGAAAATTGAGAAATTCACAAATTAAATATCTAGAACAGTGTGAGCCATTTGAATATGTGAACTTAAAGTTCATTATCATGCATGTATTATACAGTCTTGTTTGAGACATCATAAATGCAATATAGTAATTATAAGACAGTATGTTTTCTTCTTAATATTTCTTAACAATCTCTGAAAAATTAAATTCAGTATTTAAGCTAGCCAAGAAACAGAAGAACAGGCTACTTCAATCAAAATAAAGAGATTATTTCCATGAGACAAGAAAAATGTAATGAGTATATACCAAGTATCAAGTTTGAATTTAATTTTGTAAATTCATGGTAGGCTGATATCCTTATTCTACAGTTTATACATTTCAATAGATTGAAGTGAAAAAGTTCTTCATTTAACTTACTGCAAAAAAAAACAACAACAACAAACAAACAACAACACCAAAGTCAGGTCAGTACAGAATGGCAACAACAAGCAGGGACAATGCTCAACTTTTTCCTATTTCTAAAGTCAAACACATTGGAGGAAGAATATTGTAGTTTTTGAATATTCCTAGAAAAAATTATTTTATTGGAATTATAAAATTCAAATCTCATATTTGACTTGGATAGTCAAGGTAATTTAGAGATTAAGGTCATGCTAAAGCAGCTTAAATCATTCAACATGTTGGTGTTGTCAAAAAAATTCAATTGTTCAGTGTTAGTGATTTTTCTAACTTTACCAAGTACCTGAACTCAGTGCCTGATTCATCTGTTGGGCAAAAGTCCTAATTACAGAATGTCAATGTTTGCATAACTCTATCAAACAATCAAATTTGTGTGCTCTACCTATAATTAGACAGTTGTGTGCTCTTAAATAATATTTAAGGGCTGAAGGTAAATTAACTAAAACACTTGTAGTAAACTAACAAAATAAAATTTGCCATGCCGTTTCACGTTAGAAGAGCCTGAAATCGACAGTCTACAGTCTTCAGTAGTCTATGGTCTTGAAAGAATGAGGAAAAGAGATTGCTGATTACTAAAATTTAAATTACTTTGTGACAGGTAAGCTAAAAATTGTGCAACATCTCCCCTCTGATTACAGTTGTTTAACTGGCCAGTTAATGCTAGAAGCAAGTCATAAAACTTGTGTACAAAACACAGAACAAAATAATTTCATTGTGAGTAGTACTTGAGTACCTTTATTTAGGAGGTTTTCAAGCTCCTTTGTAAGTGTTCCCACTCCATTTCTTCTTCTTTTCTTTGCTATTTCTTTTACTTTTCTCCCATTTTCCTGGATTGATTCTATTTTTTGGATCTGTGTTAGAAAATGTTCCAGTTCATGACTATTTCTAAACACTGTGGTTTTTGGTCTCTTTGGCGAGTTTCTTCTGTTAAGCACAATTCTCTCATTATTTTCAAGAATTGCTGCAAAACATGAATTTATGCTAATAAACATATACAATGAAATTAAAAATGTAGATATGAAAATGTTTGTTTCAAATCTTACAATGCACTTCATTTTTACCAAGATATCTTGATTAACACGTCTTGCATCCATTTTTGACAGATAATCTTTCTAGAATCTCATCTTTTGTATTTGACAGAATTGATCACAACAAAAATATAAAGGAGATGTAATTTCAACACTTTAATGCTAGGGGAACAAGAAAGAGTCACAGTATATTAAGCTAGTGATTTTAATAATAAATAAGATTTTTTATTCATAATTATATTTAATCTTTTTTATGAAATTAAAAAACAAGAGTTAACAGAATAACATAATTTGTCAAAATCTGATTTAGTTGGCAAAAACAGTAAGTTATCAGATTAAAATTAAAGTAAAGACAAAAGACTTGAAAGTACATAAAGTTTTACAGTTCATTCAGTTTTTTTTCCCCCTTCTATAACATGGGCCATTTAACAAAAGGCTGCTCCTCCTCAGGCAATACAAAAAAATGCTGATGATGCAGTTTTCCCTTTCCCCTAAAATTCAATTTACAAGTTTTTTTTCTTCCCCTTTGTCAAAAATACTTTTTAATTTTTTTCTCAAATTTAAGGGAAGTGTCTCTGCCCCTCCCTGTGCGAAAAGCTCTGTCACTGACTAAAAGTAGTCAGGACATTTCTACCGCCAAAGCTAGATTCTAATATGGGATATCTATAGATACATAAAACAGGAAAATATCCCAACTTGTAGTATATGTTCAATTATTTTGAGTATGAATATCAATATACCATTTGACCATGTCTTGCAGGGCTTATTATTTGACATTTGTAACATTCCACTACTTGAATTGAAGGGGCTATCTTGCAGAAATGAGTCAATAAAAGATTTTTTTAAAATAAATGAATTAAAAAACTACATACAGCACAGTTTTGCTGCCCATAAATAACAATGCTTTCCTTTATTGGTAAAGATGACTTGAGCTGCTGGTTCTATTGTTTGTATGTATGTTTGCCATAAACAGCCACAGTGTGCCTCTGAAGAGCTGATATCTCTATAATATAAATGTATCATGACTGAAGAATTAAAGCCTACTTAAAGAAATTATTTTGTTTCAATAATTTATCGCAGACCCATCTATAGGTTCCCAGTTATTGATTCACCTTATCATACACTTACATCATCAAAAAAACGTAAGTTACTTAATATACACTGTTTTGAAAAAAACAAAACATTGTGAACAAAAACAAAAAAAAACATATTTTAATGTCTATTATAATAAAATATTCATTGTTCAGATTGACAAATAATCAAATTAATATACTTGACCCATTCTAATGGCAAATATGCTTATTTTTAATCTTTATAAAAATTTCCAAAACAAACTGAAATTCTCAGTAATTTGCTGATCATTCCAGTATGGTATCAGACGGAATGATGTTTCTAAACATTTTAGTGCCATTTTATTGCCAAATTTTAATGTATTTTTTACGCTATAAATATTTGCATTAGTTGGAATAAACAATTTTGCTAATTCAAAATACTATGCCAAAAGAGCATGAAGGAGGTTTCAAAAGGTACCAAATATTTTAGTCCTATAAATATGACATTGCTTTGAGATATTTTCACTTCTTGGCAAAGCATCTAAAACAATTCTGAAATATTGGACTACAAATATTTTTCCCAATTAAGCAATTTTATGATGCAAATTTTCCAATCTGGACTAGGCACTTTTCCCTAAAATGTCTACAAATAGGCCTGAGAGCTCTACACTACCAGTGTCCACACACTTGGCGTTAGAAGACTCAGCCCCCTGCTTGCTCTATTCCTGTCAATAAAAGAAATTTTAACATGTTGACACACATGAGGCATCCATATTGATCATAAAACTTGTTGCAAATACAAAAATTATAAAGTAAAGATTGCAGACTTCTAAACACCACCTATCCTGATAATCCACTTAAAGGGAAACAACTCTCCGCAATCTAATATAGGTATCCAAACACATGGTAGAGAAATAGTCAATCTCCCCTGTTGTTTTTTTTTTACACATGGTGACACCAAATATTTCCCAACCATCTAGTACTAGATTTTCTATGTAAACAGACTCTATGTAGATCTAATATTCACTTCCGACGTCCCTTCCCAGCGTGCACGTCGCTCGGAAGGCATAGGTCACACCAGATGGGTGACCTAGTTAGGTCACCTAGCTGGTGTGACCAACCAAGGGCGAAGGGTGTGACCCTAAAGAGAGCTGCTGCTCCCGGAAGAGGTGCCTTTCCTCTATTGTCTACCATTGTTCAGGATGCGAGGAACTGGGTCCAAGAGAAGATCTACGACAAAAGACGGCATGAAAAGACCTCCGTTGCGGCTCTACGATCGACGACGTTGCAGGCGAAATAAGTCCTCCGTTGCAGGCTCTACGACCAACAACGTAACAGAGGCCGATAGTCTGGGACATATGGGAAACCGGCGCCCAGTATAAATAAAACTAAAAACACACACACACTCTAATATTCAATTATAAGATTTTTTGAACTATGAAATAATTTTCTTATTTTTTCCTTTAAAAAGTGTACAACACCGGTAGGCCTACAGTAGATCTACACTGACTAGTCTATTAATCCATAAAATTGAAATATTCTTGCAAAAATGTGACACTCAGTTATTTTTTTTTATATTAGGTTTATTGCTGCAGTATACAAGTAGACATCTAGGCCTACAAAAATGATATGGAAATAGCTAGCCATATAAATAAAATTGAAAAAAGAAATCGACTTAATATTTAATATATAATTGAATTCGTTCGAACTCTATTTTTCTATTTTTTTCTTTGAAATATAATCAATACCTTGTACATTTGTGTCACTGAACTGCATGTCTTAATCAATAAAATTGAATATCTGCAATTGCACTCAGATTCTCTGAAGGATGCATGACGTGTATCATGTACATAGGCGCTAACATAAAAAAACATTAGCAGCAAAAACCATGCTAACATTTTAGTCTAAAATAAAATATACTAATGAAAAAAATTGTATGTTCGTATGGCAAATTTAGTTAGTCTGCATATAACATCTGAATTTTGACTTACAAACCAGCATGCGTGGTATAAACAATGCAGCCACTCTTCTCTGCAGGATCACATGACGGTGGACATGTCAAGCCGCTAACATGATTCAAACAAAGTAGACAGACGAAAAACTTCAGCATTGTAACAGCGGATGTTTGATCTGAAAAAAAAATCAAGAAAAATTGTAGCTTAATGAAGGAAATATTTAGTGCTGCATTAACATCGAAATTTGAGAGCCTTTCAAGTTCACTGAAACACATTTATAACAAAGGTTGCTAAAGATGTAAAGGAAGCTTACCTTCGTCCTTGTCGCCATCTTTGTTTACATATATGACGTAATGTGATGACGTCAAATTTCGTGCACTGGTTCTAAGCACGGCCACGCCTTGAATGGTTTGACATTATTCATTAATTTCTTCAGCTGAATCTAAACTCTGCGTTATTATTGTAAAGGCTATGACCGCCATCGACCATGCACCCGTGTGCAGGTATAAATTGGCAAGTTACCACTATATAGTACAAGTACAAATGTTGCTGCAATGTAGCAATTGAGAAGCTCCGCGCAAAAAATGCGCTCATTATGTACAGATACCTTACCAAATTATTCCTACGCACAGGTAATGTTATATTCAGATTAAGTACTATTGTAGATTTTTTCCGAATGTTTTGTAAACCATTTTTTGCATAATTATACTTATCATATGCACTGTCCATAATTAAGAAGAGGGGAAAGATATTTAATGTAAAAAAATGCTTTCACTGACTCCTACCTGGTAAGGAAAGTAATTCCATTGAATACAAACAAGACTTACATGAGTTGTAAATGCATGTTATGTGACATGACTGTACTGTGTTCTGTTTGTGTCACTACTGTAGTCAGTAACATAAGATGATAAAAATATCAAAGTCTGTTTTTTCATTATCATAATTGTAAAACAAATATAGGGCCTAGGGCCTACAGATACTTAGTAGTACTATAATATAGTAATATTACATGCATTTTTTTCATGTCAAATTAAAAAAAAATGGTTTCTTTCAATACTGATTTCATTTAATTTCATAAATATAAATTAAGAATAATTATCAAAAGCAAAATTATTAAAGTCTTATGCCTATAATCTTCATTATATTGACAAATTCAATCTTGATATGCTGTCTGTAAATGTAGTTCAAAATGTAACAAATTATAATTTCATGCACTACCAAAAAAGGGAAATAACACATTTATATAACCAATCTGAACATTTATAGCTATTTATAGCTTTCGAATTCATGTACAGCAGAACTGTTCTCATTCATTAATATGACATGCTGCGAATCACCGAATGGGGAAGCCAATATAGAAATCGAAAGATGTTCTTGAATGCGGATTTACTTTTAGCTGTAAATCGAAGGGATTAATTGATCAAATCCGGGCCCATGGACAAAAAAGTAGTAAACACAAATAGCTCCGCGCGGAGCACTAATACTGTAGGCCTATATTTGGTGTCTTCTGGGTGCCCTACTTGAGTGTGTCGGGGGCTGCGTTGCATTTGCCTTGTTGATCTTTATTCTTGTCTTTTCTACATTCAGAAATTTATACGGGATTTCTACATATCTACTTAGTTCTGAAGTAGTCTAGATTGCTTAAATTATCGAACTTTTAAATCTCAACTTTGACGGATTTAATAAAAAAAAATAAAAAGCTGTTCAAGTATTTGCTTTAAGTAACACTGGGTAGGTTTAAATAACGGTTCGTCGTAGAATGATTGCTAAGACGTTTTCCTAATGTTATTTTACATGGTACAGCGTCCACCGGATATAGCCCCTAAAAACATCGAAAACGGTCAACTGGAAGATCTATTTCTGAAGATTTTCGTGTTCAAGTCTGAAGACAATCCATTCAAAAATAACAAATTTATAGCCATTATAATATCAAAATTTCAAGCAAAATTTAGCAATTGACCTTGAAGGTAGTCTTCTTGAAGGTCCTGTCCCAAGGGTTGTTGTGGCCAAGTATGAAGAACTTAATAAGTTATGTTCGAGATTAAAGTTTACGAACGACAACGGGAACGCAACCATGACTGTAACAATATTTCCATTTTCATTTTTCAAAAGTCGAGCTAAAATACCATTTTAGCTGTTTGCTTTTTTTTTTGCTTTTATTTATAAAGTTCGTCCTTGATATTCACCCGTTTATTTACGAAATTCTCTTTAGTTACTTTAGTAATGGCAGATACATTTTGAAATCCTAGCTGCTCATTGTGAAATTGTTGTATATAAAGTTTGACAGACGAATAGAAATATATTAAAACGGAGTTAACCTGAAGTAAGTAAACTTAATTCTAGTTAAAAGTATGTTTGATTATTTATTTTTAAGTGATCTTTTTGTCGATATTTGTAACCGCTAACTTTGTTTACTTAGTAATGCACTTCCTCACACCCCTGCATTGGTTTTAAGACAATATGCTCAAATCGGTTACAGCGCGAGACTTAATTATAATCTCAACATTGCGGGTTCGATTCCTTGGCTGGCTAGTTTAATTTAAAATCAAACTAGCTGTGTACGAGTACTTAACCACTTGGCACGCTAAAGAACCAGGGACTAGAGCACCTTTCTGTACCTGTATCATAACAGAGACTATAAATAAAATCAATCAAAAGAAAGAAAGAAAGAAAGAAAGAAAGAGAAAAGGAGAAAAAGAGCAACCATGCAACAGTATGAGTCTGAATACAGGTTATAGGTGGCTGTGGCTACCAACTAATACGGAACGTTGTTTAGCAGATTGTCTTAGGACTCGTATAAAATATAAGTAGCACTGAGTATTTTTATTATCAAAATTGTTATCTTATACATGAGTAAAATTGTTATCATTATTGTTACTATTTACTATCTTGCAAAAATATTTATTATAATTGTACTTTTATTATTATTTTATTTTAGTAATAAGTAACCAGCAGCAGCGCACGAAAAGAACTGGTTATCCAGTATGACTGATATTGTATATGGGTTAAAAGCTAGTACAAATTCTCTAGAGTTCATTAACCTAGAGATGAAAATAGAGTTATTTGTAATGGTACTTTATCTTACACGCTAGGGATGTGTTAATACTTTATCATGAAAATGGTAAAATTATGAAAAGGCTTTTATTTATACCTGAAGCAAAACGAATCTGATCTTTGTATACATATATCGGTCATGATAATTCAGGCATAAGAAGGTCATCTATTTATACATGCTTTGTTAACTTATTTTTCTATTGATTGAACGCGAGCTGTAGGAGTTGTTGGGTGTGTGCTTTAACAAGGGTGTAAAATCGAAAATTGTAAAATCGGATTTAAATAGAAATAAACAGATTGTTATAAATCACTTGAGATAGGATTTATAACTTCCTAACAACCTTATCAGAGACGGGTTACAAGAGGTAAACCTTTACTATTTTATTAATTGTCACCCGTTTGTATATATACATTTGCCTTTCATATACATTGTATTTAAATGTACATTGTACATGTATATTATTTTGGAACAATATGGGAGTGGTCTTAAAATTAGATTAATGAATATGCAATTAACCCCATAAGTTTGACTAACGCATTATACAGTTATATAGGGACTTACAAGAAGAAGGTATGATACATAAATGTTTAATCAGCTTTTATAAATTCAGTTTCTTAAATAAAATGGCGACGGCAATTATCCAAATGTCACTATATAATACTATATTTTATGCCAAGTGGCAAAGAAGCGAACTTCTCAGCTAACATCAATGTTCAAAGTCAAAATCTAGTTCATGGTGAAAATATTTAGAAGCGATATCGATTATACTTTATCGCGCAGTTTAATGTAAACAAACTATATATAAGGAGTACTATACTAGTTTAAAGCAGCGTGTCTCAAGATTCATGCTAGTTTTCACGAAAATTTTGAAAATGAACTTGAAAGTAAAATATTGTAAAGTAACCAAAGGGAAGCAATGTAGACATTAATAACAGCACTCACAACCCACGCAAATTACCAAAATGAGATAAAAAAAAAAATCAAAAATAGCCTTTACTGAATAGATCGTTAGTAGCACAGTAGAAATATTGTTATAAATACTGAAAAATCAATCATAATCGCACATAATATGTTAATTAATACTTAAATCTTTTCCTAAAATCTTAGTTTTTTACCACACAAGTTGGTGGTGGTGGTGGTAGTTTACCCTCAGGATGACGGCTATATAAGTCACACTGAATTTACCAGAGCACAGTGCAGTTGGACAGGCTGTTAACTTGTTAAGCAGTTTACCAGTAAAAGTTACCGGAACTGACCAATTTTATTTCTGTTCATGTCAGAGGCAGAGCAGTGGTAATGTGCGTATGACTGTAGGAAGGTTTTTATGACACAATCATGTAACGAAAGTGAACTGCACCGTTCATGGACCCGAATCCCAATGCTGTACCTATTTAAGCTAACCGAGCTAAGAAGACGGTTACAAACTGTAAACGCTTGCTTTATAACTCGAGGGGTCAATGCGAAACTAGTCTATGTGACATTTTTTCGTGAAAAGTTTTTTTTACAGATTCTGAAAAGTCTTAAAAGTCCTCACAGTATGTGTTAAAATATTCCTTTTCCTTTACATAGTTAAGGACACAAAATATATTTGCTGAAAAGGCTATATTTGTTCAATGCGAAACTAATTTAACTGCAACAAATTTGCACATAGACTACTTTCGCATGAATATTGACATCTCTTTTGAAAGTCAAGTATTTTTACCTATGTAAGGCAAAATTTAACTATAAAACCAGGTAATAAAACCATTTAATTGGTAATGATTTACATAACAACTAATGCGTAATATTCTATAAAAATGTATGTCAGTTGGTCAACTAACTTAACAGGCAAAACAAAATCTGACATGACATTTATAAAAAAAAACTCGAGTTATTTATCTGTTCTGTTGCTTTATACAAGCATGAAGTACATGTACTGATTAATCTAGGAGCAATCGCAACAATCGCAATTTCTCAGCCCTCAGACAATAAAGCGGTAATCGGCGAAGTTTCCGAGTTTCGGGCATCTTTTCCTTGACATTGAAATTCGAATAGTTGATCCTTAAATTCAAATATTTAATCCAGTTTACAAGCTGGAATTCACGCAAGAAAAGACTTTTATGTTTGTAACGCGCTGAATCTTTTTTCAATGGAACATTTTTAAGTGAAAATGTATCAAAATTGTGCAGACTGGGTTGGCAAAAGTTATATTCTAGCATGTAAAAGACTGTAAAGCGTCGTGTTTTGTTTTCAGAAGATCAAACAAATTTAACAAGAAATAACACGAATTAATTGAGACGTGCTGCTTTAAAACTTGTTGGGAAAGGTCGCCCTGTGTCGTGTGTATATCTATCGCTAATGGGTTAAATATTATTGAATTTGTTTATCAATTGCTTTCGACATTCAAGTATGTCAAAAGGTTCAACTTCCTTCAAAGTTAAACGTAAGATTTTTCTCAACCCTATTTAGTTCACCTGAGCTGGCTCAATGTGAGCTTTTAGGATCGTTGAATGTTCGTCGTCTGTCGTCCGTCCACATTTAGTTCGTTAACTAACAATATTAGTTCATAGCCTTAATAATCAGGTGAGCGATACAAGGGCCATCACGGACCCCTTGTTACTATTATATATTCCTACTTTCAGTTTTGTCACTTACATACCATTGAATATGCACCCGAAATTTTTCGTGATGTACTTTTCTTGATGGATGATAACTTTCCCATTCCAGTTTTATGATCAAATACAAAACAACACAATCGCACTGACTATATTTTAGATATTTGTAGTCCATTAGGTTATTTACTTGGGTTTTAAATCACAGCTTAAATTTGAATGGAGGAATATCTCAGGAATGCCAGAGTAGAACTTCTTACGCTACCTGGAAAACTTCTTCACATAAAAGAATCCATTTAACTAGCGGACCTTGTCTTTCATTTATGCCAATCGCATCTTCTCGGTCATTTCCGTCAAACTTAGGAGAAGATAGATAATCGATTGTTTAGGGATTTTACATAATGTACATGGGTTCGTCTATTGACAGAAATCGAGCACTAAAAAAATAATACTTAGTGTTTAATTCAATTACAGTCATGATATCATTTACTTTAATAATATAATGACAACCTTTGCCTTGTTGTCAAGGTGTGTGCCTCTCAACTCCGAACTCTAGTTTGATTACGAGTGTGTTTCCTATATCATAACACCAGTTAAAGAGAAGGCATGGTCCGGAGAGATATCAGCCAAACGATTAGGTTCTATTTTTAAAGTTATACCTATTATCATTCAGATATCGATTATTAAAAATGAAATTGAGCATGAGCAATAAATGTGACTATGTATTATCTCATATTATAATGTATATAATAGTTGTTTCTCAACGTTTACAGGATAATTGGACGTTAAAGTATGGAGAAAACAGAAGATGGCTCGAAGAGATTTCTAGGATCGAAAGGTAAGAATTTAACCCTCTTGAATTTTTGTTTTGATGATACTATTGTACATCTGTAAGATTTTGTAAGAATTGTTTATTTATATATGTTTTTGCTTGGTCTTAAATATATACTTTTTTGAAAGAGTCTTGTTTCTACATTTGTGAGGTGTTTACATTAATGATATATTAAATGTTTCACAAGTGACTGTCCGTGACCTTTTGAAATAAAATCCTTTGTTATGAGCCGCGTCACGACAAAACCAACATAGTGGGTTTGCGACCAGCATGGATCAGTCTGATCAGGATCCATGCTGTTCGCTTACCAACCCTATTACAAGTAGAGAAACTGATAGCGAACAGCATGGATCCTGATCAGACTGCGCGGATGCGCAGGCTGCTCTGGATCCATGCTGGTCGCAAACGCACTATGTTGGTTTTGTTGTGACGTTGTTCATATGTTTACCTGAAATGTAATTCGTCCGCAACGTTTTTTAGGTGATTGTGCCTATAAATGTTAAATATTACACTGGAAAACATTTCCTATATCATATTTAAAATTTGATGCTATGATGTAGATGGTCCTTCAATAAACATATAAGAAGGACCCGGGCGTATGAGCTGTAAAAAATCAATTACATAAAAAGTTAATAATTAATATACATGTTAAAAGTAGTCATTGTTGCCTAAGAGTATTTTTTTCTATGATGTTAATTTCTGGGAAGGGCTTAGTCTAATGTTGCTAGAACTTGTTACCCTACCCATTTGCTTTTTGTAATATATACTTACTATTTGTATAATATTTGACATGTATTTGATGCAATAAAATGTATAAACTTGAATAAGGATATCAATGCCTACGTATACATGTATTCGGTAACTGTCATGACAGAAAAAGGCGGCATTTGCCGAATGCTTACGAACTTAAAATCAATAATGATTAAAATTGTAAAGTGCAGTAAAAATCATAAATCAAACACATGTCTTGTTCTTCTCTTTCAGTTCTTTTTATCCTACTGGTCATAATTTACTTATATTGGTTTCTCTGGGGCGTGACAAAATTTGTGCTTGGTAAGTAATGACGCATACAAATTGTATTTTTAATGTTTTTTATTAATGAGCAAATAACAACATGAGAAATAACATTTAAAGTGCTTTTTATATATCAACAAATTTTGGTATAATTTTTAAATTTAGTTAACTAGTATTTTATAATGACATATCTGAGCGCACAATCCCAGGAGTGGGAGGTAGATTTATTTAATCACTATTAAATCCAATAATCATTTGAGCCGCGTCATGACAAAACCAACATAATGGGTTTGCGACCAGCATGTATCCAGACCAGCCTGCGCATCCGCGCAGTCTGATAAGGATCCATGGTATTCGCTATCAGTTTCTCTACTTGTAATAGAGTTGGTAAGCGAACAACATGGATCCTGATAAGACTGCGCGGATGTGCAGGCTGGTCTGGATCCATGCTGGTCGCAAACGCATTACGTTGGTTTTGTCGTGACGCGGCTTAATTTTTACCTTTTTCCCGTTACTTGCTAATTTAACTATACTGTAATGACTATTTTTGTTTCAACGATTTCTTTCTTCCAGGTATTGTATACATAAACGATTGCGAAGATATACAAATGATACCAATCTTCATACTGGTGGACGGATTTACATATATCCCGCTTGCCATTGGTCTTATACCTTTCTACAGAGAGAGTAGCGATTCTACGAAACGAAACGCCCAGTTCCTTCTTATCTTTGGAATAATACTTTGCGCAGGTTGGACAATAACAGGTGAATACACTTTTATTCTTTTTGTAATAACTAAAATGTTTCTTTTTTTTCTGCCCGACATTTGAAATAAATGTCTCTGCATTTAAATCTTAATAACCACTTAAAGGGACTCCACTGAAGTTAAATAAAAGGACTGTGAATAATATTCGAGAATAGTGTAGCATTTGATGAAGGTCAGGCCTACAGGTTGTACAAAATTTTTCTGAGACTTACCGTCATTTCATTGGTCATTGCACATTGCACCTGTTTCAGCCAATAAAATAGTTGATATTTGAGTCTGACTTTGGTCAATTAATTTGTAACCTTAGATCCTGGACTAATAACTTCTGTACACAATTCTAAATAACTTGCTCCCTCTGTTTTTCCAGAATATTAATTTTTATTGTGCAGTATGTCCCAAAAGTTTAAAGATCCTGTATGTTTTGTGATTGATATTTTTACTGTGTGAATACCACACTAGCAAAAAGTTATATATGTACATATTTATGCAAATAAAACAATTTTCAAACATCGAAGGATATGTAAAATGTGTACTGCAAATATTTGTGTACATTATATTTAATCAATAAATTACAGGCATTCATTTCTTATTGGAAAATTTGACTTAGAATTTATAGAAAACAAATTTATAATTACCTCCCTTTATTTACATGAAATGTTAAATTGGGTAATATCTTTATAAACAATGCTTATTGGAACTTACAATATTGACAAATCTTAATTTGAGCATCATATTTATGAAATAAAACCATGAAAAAATTGTGTTACAAGATCTTTAAATACTTTTTTATTAAAACAGTAGTGTATGTAGTGTTACGTATTGGGAAAAACTAGGGGTGGAAACTGGAAAAAAATAATTGAATATTTCAGAAACTGTCGAATATTCGAATATGAAATTCTGATTCGAATATTCAGTTAAAAAACTTTTTTTTTCAATTTTTGACGTTAAACTTGAACAGAACACACGCTAGACAGTGTCTTTTAATTTCTTTTGAAAATCAAATGGTGAAAAGAGATAGATTATGAAACAAGTATTTGATATGTTTTAACTTGTTTGATATACTGTCAACATGTTTAGTATCATGGTCTATATTTTAGTATGGTAAATAATATCTTTTCTTGTTTTTTATCACTAAAATCCGAATGGTTTAAAGACTGCATACTAATGGTTTATAAAGCCACTACAGTGCAACTTCTGGAGAGCATCACCTTTTGGGAGGTTGTTCTACAGAGATTAAATATTTGGTCTGGAAATTATTGAAACTGTTGTTGTAAAGAGGTATTTGTTCCATAAAGGGGCTTGTCTGTCGGGTTGCATTGTATTCCGTATATCAACAAATTAGATTAACTTTAATGAGATTAAAAAAGAGAGCGGAAAACGACAAAATTGAAATTGTCCCTAGAACATTTTCATGGAAATCCTCATACTCGTGATTTGTAGTTAAAGAATGCAACCAGAGTTGCAGTGAAGGCAAAAAATAGATGCATATGATATTATTTTTGTTTTGATAATATTTCCTTATTTTAACAACAATTCGGCATTTGCAATCATGAATCATTGTCGGTTACCCATGATATATATTCCGTACATACTACAATAACATGCAATGATTTATTTTCTTTAATTTTAAGGGTCTTGTTTTATTTACCCAAGCAACAAGGGAAAGGATTGTGACGAGGTAGTCAGGACAATCGGAAGCGCCACACTTGGCCTTAACTGGGGCACGATAGGCATTTGGGGTCAACTTGTGTTCCGTGCGCTGTTTTATAACGGCTGCAGCTGCTGTTAGGTAATTACAGTCTGATTTTTTTTCATAATAGTGAAATCTGTTTTTAAGGACATCTTCAAATAAAACAGCAAGATTTTTGAAGAAACTCTCGCAAAAGTTCAACATTTTCAACATCACCTCATTTTAACATTTACAGTACTTATTGATAGGGATAACTTGTGAATAAAAGTAATTTCCTACTGTCCAAAAGCTTGTCACAATATAAACTTATTAAGCTGTGTTTAAAGATAAGCCGAGTTTTACTGATTTAAATGGATGCTAGTCAACAGTGAAAATACATTGTACATGCTTTCTATAGTTAACTTTCACCAGTTTTTTGCCGTAATAATTACCCCTGTCTAACAGCTTTGGTTATATTAGCGCAACATCGGGTCATATAACCGGTCATAAGTTATATGACTAACATACAAATTAGCCAAGTTCTTGTATATATACATATCATTATTCCTAACTCAAGACCGTCACAGCATATACACATATTAATAGGAGTAAGATGCACTTCCATTCTTTTCTATGTTTTAGAAATTTAACTTATTAAAAATACATGGCGTTTATTAAAAACACTTTTAGGCATCCATTTTTGAGTAACTCCTTTTATTGTTCCAAATTTGAATACTGCCACCCCATTAATCCCCTGTTACATCTCGTATAAAACAATGAATGAAAGAAAACGAAAAGCATTGTGTGTGATTGAATACATAACATTTTTCTTATCGAAAAATATATATCCAGAAAAAATGTTAAATCCAAGCTTTCGTATAAATATTTCTCATCTTTTTATTTTCAAATTTCAGGCCTGCGTGGATATTTACAGCACACGACTCCTAGCATGCTAGATGTTAAAGGCGTTCGTCAAGCCCTTTAGTTTTCTAGCATTCACCTGTTTGTATCTGCTAGAAGATTTTATTTTCGTGAAAAGTTAAACAATCAAATTAAGAATTTCATGCATTAATAATGCAATCTCTGGCCTTTGAAGTACTTTTGTTTTCATTATAAGTAAAATGGCTTGATTCAGCGACCACAATTATTAGACACCTTCAATCCCGGTTCCTAAAGCTTTTTCTACAAAGACACATACTGTGAATCGTCTCCCGCAGCCAGCTACAAAGAGTGTACATATGTACGGGAACTATTTTATTAAATATAACCACGAAATATACGTGTATTTTATATGTATTGGTGCAGCTATAAATAGTTATTATATATATGTTTAGCTTAAAGATTTTTTATTTAGACATTAATAGTGACACTAAATATAGCCATGTACAGGAGGAGGGTTTCTCTCCAAGCCATGGTTTGGTATAGGAGAGAAGCCATGGTTTGGTATAGGAGACAACGCTTGCGTGTTCATATGTATATGTTGACAATAAAGGAGCTTTTTTTTACCATAATACTAGTAAGCCAGATATATACACATTTTATACCATTTGCTAGTCTAGAAACTAATCTCGTGAAAATAATTAAAAAAGATGGTTTAAAACATTGTTAAAAAATACCCCTGGTGAAACGAGAAAAATAAAATTGTCCTCGCATTATTTCATACAAAAAAAATATACCCTGAACTAAAAATGCTGTAGTTTCTATGTGTTAGTTTAATCTTTTATTGTTTGTTGTTTTTATCCGATTTTCATAAAAAGGTTGTAACACCTATAAATATTTATTGTTCGGGGTAATGTATTTGATACTCAACAGCAATACAATGTTGTCAGTATTTTGAAAGCTATTTGTTTCATTTATACTGCTAAACAAAATGAAATCCGTTTCTGTTGAGTTTGTTGCTATTCTATACTTTTCATGTATTCTTAATCTACCTCTTGTAAATCATTGTTTATTGAAATAAAATGTTGAAAACAATGTTTATCTTCTTTTCTTATCGTTTCGCCATGATGATCCTAAATCTTTTATCCGAAACAAACACGCAACTGAGATGAAAAATTAACTACTGCTACAGGTCATGTTTGGTTTAAACATATTTTATTCAGAATATTTGTACATGTGTAGGTAACAACACAACATAACAGTAATTATAGATTTTGGCTGAACGTAAAAACCTATAAAAGCCATTATCTAACAATAACAACCTTCAATGTCAGTGGTTGTTAACACGTTACCAGAACGTAAACACATTTGATAATGCAAGATTGAAAAGAAATAATGTTTTAATATTGAGGTCAAATCATGTTTGGTTACGATAATCATAGGCAAAATAAAATGTTGGAGGAAAAATTTTTCGGTCCACCTAAAACCATGTCACACTTTAGTTTTGCCTCCAAAACTACTGAAACATATGGGTTGAAACATCACACACTTTTTCTCTGTGATTATCACTTCAATTTTGAATATACATGTATGCTAAATGCTCTGTCCTTCGATGCCTCGAAGTTTTTCCATATTTTATATTTCATGTTTATATTTCTCAAAATGGGCTAAGCAGTTCCTTCAGAAAATTATGATTATAAAATCAATCAATAACCCACTGAAAGAAAATTAAACACCGCATTTGTACAATAAGGTCAACCACATAAATTATATATTGAAACCATTCAACATGCAACAAATGTACTTCAACAAAATGTTTGTGTACAGAGACTTTTTTTCAAATCATGTTAAAGGGGTCTCTAATGTAAAGATTTAAAGCGTGACACACAGTTAACGCAACGATTTGGAAGTAGATACGAGTTGTCATTTTTGTATTTTCTGATCGTAAGATCAGTAAATACATAGCTAACGTCCACGGTCTAACACAAAATTTCCTTACAGTCCTAACAACGCAAAGTAGTTCTCACTCAAAACTGCTTAAAAACCAGCAATTTAAAAGAAAGAATAATTTTAATGTAGGCATTTAACAAATTACAGTGCATTAAAAGTTTAGATTAGTCAATAGAAATATGAGGTAACAATCACAAATTTCGCGGATGAATATCTTTTTTACCCAATGAAAAATGTTCGGCTATTTCCGTAAAGCTTCGGATTATCATGAATATCATTTTAATCAATGAAAATGCTATTTTTAGCTATGTCGATTAATGAATACTCCAGAGCGTAGTACACAAATAAATCTGACTCGAGTAGTGGAATATATACATGTCGGACTGTTTTGGCGAGAAGATTTTCGCTAAATTATTTTCATCAGTGTTAAACAACAGGTTTATCGTGAACAAAATACCTCGAAATTAATAAGGATTGCAAACACGAAATGGAAATTCTCAATTTAGAATTACATAATGTATTCGTTTTTATTCAAGGTACATATGTATTACTTCGCCGTGGTGCAGAGGTAAGCGGTCTCGTTGAGGGTGTGAGAGGCCTATGGTTCAAATCCTAGTCGAGGCAATTCTATTTTTTTTTTCATGCAAAATTCCATATATATCAATCTCAAACTGTTATAGAAGAATATCAAAACGCTATCGCTGCGTAAGATGAATTATAGTATATAAAAATAAACTTATACAGGAAAGTACATACAGATAGTCAGTATGATTTAGATTGCAAAGATCAGAAAATACCATAGAGCTGCAGCCCTTTGATTCTTCCACGGGCCATTACTTGTGGAAAACAAATTAGAACTGAAGATCAACTACGACAAAATATTCAAATGCGTTCAATCCTTTTTAAGGGGCAAGGCGTTCCAAGTGAAAAAGGAAAACAGCACTTTTTGTAGTAACTTTATATAGTCAATATGGTTAAAAATGGCAAAATAATGAATAAAAACAAAATAAAAATAACAGGCAGACCAGCTCTTAAAGTTCTGCGCTGTTAAAGTAGATCTGAAATTTACTCAGATTGTGAGGTATACTGCAGTATGGTTGATCTGTAAAAGCTTTTAAATTGACCTCACACAACACTATAATCTTGGCAATCGGAACACCTCGGCTATTATATAATGATCAGAAGATTGGCGGAAAGGGAACTAATGGCTTATATATTATGTCACAGGCTTTTATTATGATTATTAAGCAAAATTTAAACCCCTGTCGAAAGGACATTGGATAATCAGCGAGATACTCCAAATGATAGGAATGGGAGAAAAAACCTACATTGTTTGCAACTTCTATGACAAATTAAAAGCAATTTACTACTGATTGAGGTTTGAAGCTGATAAAGTACATCCCATTTGAACTACCCATGCAAGTCGTGTACGGTTTAATGTACTTCTAGTGTTACTTAAAAATGATACACGGCATTTGTAATTCAATCCTGAAACAATTATTCAAAGATTTGTTTCTATCTTATTACATTGAATATTCGATTGTGATCATTAAAAATTGAAAGTTGTCAGTAATCGTCATTGCGGTGCATCTGTAAAGTCATCCAAAATCGGCAGGAGTGTATTTTCCTAACAGCAGCTTTTCCCATCTGCTAGGGCTCGAAAAACAAGCTGACCCCATATACCGATGGTTCCCCAGTTTGTTGTCAACATAGCAAATGCAAATGACCTTGCCACCTTACTGCAGTCCACATCATTGTTGTTGTTTGGGTAAATAAATGCAGCACCTAAAATGAAACAATGTTTTGAAATAGTGAAAAAAATATACAAAATGTATATACAGCTAGTGTACATGTAGTTGTATATTGTTCATGTATGATTCATGGGTTGCTTATCAGCAGACGTTGTATAGACGAAATCATGGTTATAGAATACTTGTATAATACTTTAGTTTAAACAATATTTTATTTATAAGTATTACATTTACATAATAATTGACAAATAATAAATAGTACGGATTGAGTAGGAAGCTTGAAAAGCTTTTTTAGAAACTCTTTCCGTAATCACTATCTCAAAGAGTATGTAAAATGGTAACAATTATATGCATTTTTGTGTTAAATATACATAACATTTTCACTATTAACTTGCTTCTTTACATGTACAAGAAAGTAAGCAATTTGCACTCTTGTTTTCCTAATCGAAACGACCTTAATAATAAAATATAGACATAAAAATGTGAAGGAAAACCCTATAGCTCTATAGCGTAAATACACATAAGTGATAAATGCACAAATTAGCACGTTTAAAATTATCAAGAAAAATAATAGAACTTTTAAACATGTTAAAAAAATTAAGAAATTAAGAAAAATAAAGATATGGAAATTGTTGGGTAATAGAGGGTAGGAAATAAGAGACAGATTTGAGAGAAAAAAAAGAAAGACAAAAGGAAGGTCACTCTAATACTATGGAGTTGATGGAACGAGTTTACAATATACTTTTGAGAAGATATTATGCATCTAAATCTCTATTTCATGTTAGTCGAAATAATAACTTTCTATTACATTTCAAAACGTTTTGTTCTGTGTAAATATGAGTGTATATGAAGGGCTATTGCTTCATTTAAATCGTCAGCAATTGAATTATCACCATAGAGTAAAACGTTAAGTGTGACAGTTGTTATTACTTAAATTGTTAAGGAGGACATTTCGTTCATCTTGGTACTTCGGACACGAGAAGAAATAATGAGATGTGTTTTCTATGTCGCCACATTCACATAGGGGACTTTCTATTATGTTTTTTTTTTAAAACAAATGTTCTTTGAGAGAACTACAATGTGTTCTAAGTCTTGTGTGTATAATCTGGTATTTTCTCCCACCTACATAATAATGAGAAGGCGCACTTTGGACATCTTCATTAAGTCTTCTTTTGAATTTCTGTAATTAACAGTAAGATTGTTCCAGTCTTTAAATGATAATGGCAAAAATGAATGAGAATAAAGTTGTGTGTGACAAAATATATTTCTAGTGTTGTCTGCATTTCGTAAATTATAATCTGAAGATTCTCCTACTGTATCGGGAACTAATGAAGAGAGGTAATGAGGAGAAAGATTATTGAACATTTTATAAAGAAGAATTTGTTTGTGTTTGTAGCGTCTTACTTTAAGGGGTTGGATGCAAGTATCTTCATAAAGATTAGAGATAGAAACTAGTTTTGTTGTACCGGTTATTATTCTGCAGGCTTCAAGTTGTATTTTTTCAAGTTCAAAGTCATCTTGTTGAGTTATGTTGTCCCAAACAACATCCGAGTATTCCAGAAGGGGCCGAATGAAAGAGATATATATAGTTTCAAGTGACTTACGATCAAGAATGAATTTCAAAAATCTCATAATATAAATTCTTTGCCAGGCTTTTTTGGTAATATTTTGTATGTGGGAATGCCAATTTACATCATTAGAAAATGTTACTCCAAGATGTTTGTGTGAGGTCACTTCATTTATTTGCACTCCGTTCATTGTCAATGGGGGATGAATTGGTTTGGTATAATATTTTGATACCACGACTGAAGACTTTTTTCAATAGATTTTAATTTTGTAAATTAAAACGTGACTTGATTTTTACGGAATGATTTCATTGATTTAATAGGAAAATAAACTTGCTTCTTTACATGTACAAGAAAGTAAGCAATTTGCACTCTTGTTTTCCTAATCGAAATGACCTTAATAATAAAATATAGACATAAAAATGTGAAGGAAAACCCTATAGCTCTATAGCATAAATACACGTAAGTGATAAATGCACAAATTAGCACGTTTAAAGTTATCAAGAAAAATAATAGAACTTTTAAACATGTTAAAAAAATTAAGAAATTAAGAAAAATAAAGATATGGAAATTGTTGGGTAATAGAGGGTAGGAAATAAGAGACAGATTTGAGAGAAAAAAAAGAAAGACAAAAGGAAGGTCACTCTAATACTATGGAGTTGATGGAACGAGTTTACAATATACTTTTGAGAAGATATTATGCATCTAAATCTCTATTTCATGTTAGTCGAAATAATAACTTTCTATTACATTTCAAAACGTTTTGTTCTGTGTAAATATGAGTGTATATGAAGGGCTATTGCTTCATTTAAATCGTCAGCAATTGAATTATCACCATAGAGTAAAACGTTAAGTGTGACAGTTGTTATTACTTAAATTGTTAAGGAGGACATTTCGTTCATCTTGGTACTTCGGACACGAGAAGAAATAATGAGATGTGTTTTCTATGTCGCCACATTCACATAGGGGACTTTCTATTATGTTTTTTTTTTAAAACAAATGTTCTTTGAGAGAACTACAATGTGTTCTAAGTCTTGTGTGTATAATCTGGTATTTTCTCCCACCTACATAATAATGAGAAGGCGCACTTTGGACATCTTCATTAAGTCTTCTTTTGAATTTCTGTAATTAACAGTAAGATTGTTCCAGTCTTTAAATGATAATGGCAAAAATGAATGAGAATAAAGTTGTGTGTGACAAAATATATTTCTAGTGTTGTCTGCATTTCGTAAATTATAATCTGAAGAGTCTCCTACTGTATCGGGAATAATGAAGAGAGGTAATGAGGAGAAAGATTATTGAACATTTTATAAAGAAGTATTTGTTTGTGTTTGTAGCGTCTTATTTTAAGGGGTTGGATGCAAGTATCTTCATAGAGATTAGAGATAGAAACTTGTTTTGTTGTACCGGTTATTATTCTGCAGGCTTCAAGTTTTTTTTTTCAAGTTCAAATTCATCTTGTTGAGTTATTTTGTCCCAAACAACATCCGAGTATTCCAGAAGATGCCGAATGAAAGAGATATATATAGTTTCAAGTGACTTACGATCAAGAATGAATTTCAAAGATCTCATAATATAAATTCTTTGCCAGGCTTTTTTGGTAATATTTTGTATGTGAGAATGCCAATTTCCATCATTAGAAAATGTTACTCCAAGATGTTTGTGTGAGGTCACTTCATTTATTTGCACTCCGTTCATTGTCAATGGGGGATGAATTGGTTTGGTATAATATTTTGATACCACGACTGAAGACTTTTTTCAATAGATTTTAATAAATTAAATTAAAACGCGACTAGATTTTTACGGAATGATTTCATTGATTTTATAGGAAAGTCCGATGTATTTTAATAATGAAGGAGAAAATTAAACAGTTAGGAAAACTACTCGTACAGCTTGTTCATTCATCTATAAAGAAAACTGAGGTCCTTAGAGAAGAGGTAAAAGCTGATTCTGATAAAGTTGCAGGAACAATTTCTGGACTTTGTTTTTCTAACTGAAGATAAGATACTTTTGACTGATGTAAGAAATGAAGTTGTAAAAATTATAGTTTGAAATACATGATCTGATATTACATATATTCATAATTATAGCAGAAATTGTTTCTAGAACAGAATATATTAGTTCTCACATAAATGTTGATAGTAAATAAATGTTATTTCATAAGAATATTGAGATGATACATTTCCATTGTTTTGATTAAAATTTGAAATACTTAATTGTGTATAGACCAATTCACTTTAAAGGTGTGTTGACGTCAAATCTGACGTCATAATAAATAACTACTTTCCCGTTTCAGTTTATGTAGCGTAAAAACGCGCTTGTAAACACAGACACTCGGTGGTAAGACTCTGACCCTTGATTGTTCAACCCTTGTCAATTCTTAGTTACTTTAAACATTTTAATATCAGTTGGACAACTGTCTAAATCATAAAAAATCATTTAGTTTACACATGGCTTAATAAATGTATTGGCCTTTTCATTATTGCTAATTTCTTATATTGACTTTACAATAACCCTTAAAAAGTTGTGGCAAAGGCTAATGACTTCCGGTTCAAGCAAGTTAAGGGTTAAAACATATAAAAGAAAAAAAGAAATGAGCCGTGTCATGACAAAACCAACATAGTGCGTTTGCGACCAGCATGGATCCAGACCAGCCTGCGCATCCGCGCAGTCTGATCAGGATCCATGCTGTTCGCTATCAGTATCTCTACTTGTAATAGGGTTGGCAAGCGAACAGCATGGATCCTGATCAGACTGCGCGGATGCGCAGGCTGGTCTGGATCCACGCTGGTCGCTAACCCATTATGTTGGTTTTGTCATGGCATGGCTCAAATGATAATTGACAAGTACTATTTACCAGTTATATTCCAGCCGATAGAAACAACTATTCCGACAATAAGGAGAATCTTGGCATAATGTTTTGTTGAATCACTGCTACCTTTATAAAACGGGATAAGTCCTATAGCGAATGGTATATAAACAAAACCGTCAATAATTAGCCATATTGGAATCATTTCTACTTCATCACAGTCGTTAACATACACAGCACCTGAAAGATAAAATTAAATCCGCATGTAGTAGAAATCCCTAGTGCACAATTTACTCTCCGACCCCACCCTACACCGCCCAAATTCATACTTCCCCCTTTAATTGTTTTAGTTTTGCTGAATTTAGAAGAAAGCAAACCACTTGTGACAATACGGAAAATATGTTTCACTGCAGTGAAAAATAATTTTTTACAGTGAAAATACGGAAAATGAAAAAAACGAATATTATTTCATCAATATTTCTGAATATTTATTCTATATGTCCACGAATATTAAAGTTATACATGCATTTTTTGATGTTGTTGGCAAGTGTGAGATACATTATCTAATATTACATTTATTAATAGACAGATAATAAAATACTCTACTGTAGAACAAAATATTATTACTCATCGTATAAATGTTCATACTTAATCAGTTAGAACTCTACCGACATTTTAGTTCAAGATTAGAGATGCTGTATTTTGTAAGAATATCGGAATGATACATTTCTTTTGTTTTTATCAATATTTGAAAAACTTAATTTAAATGTGTCCATGTTAGACAGATTCACTTTAAAATTCGATTCCTTTAATATATGCTTAAGTGAATACTGTTCTAATGCAATATAAATACTCGTAATATCTTGTGAAACTTCGATAACCTGAGCCGCGTCACGACAAAACCAACATAGTGCGTTTGCGACCAGCATGGATCCAGACCAGCCTGCGCATCCGCGCAGTCTGATCAGGATCCATGCTGTTCGCTATCAGTTTCCCTACTTGTAATAGAGTTGGTAAGCGAACAGCATGGATCCTGATCAGACTGCGCGGAGGCGCAGGCTGGTCTGGATAACCCATTATGTTGGTTTTGTCATGACGCAGCTCATCTAATGAACGCAACTTAACCAGGCCAGATACGGCGCCATTATTGTTAATACGCGATTATACTCGTACTTAGAGGTAAAGACATATGAAACACTATTGTCAAAATACGAGTAATCACTTATTCAAACAATGAAAGCTTACCAATAACGAGTTTTGCCAAACCTAGTGAAAACCATAATATGTAGCTTGCTATGAGCAGGACAAATAGAACTGTAAGACAAAGGAAAACAATGAGAAAATAAGTAAATATAATTATTTAGCAAACATATGTACTCACTAACATCAAACTTTGTCAGTGTAAAAATAACCATCATTCATGTATTTATTATAGCTTATGATGAAAAGTAATAAGACCTAGGTTAAACAATAAAAAGTTCGGGGAAAACCCCACAAGTCGATAACTTACTTGTTGATCCGAAGAATTTGGTTGATTCAGAATCGCTACTTTTAGTGTCTCCGCTCGGCGGTTTTATTTCTTCATTCATATTTTAAACTTATAAGATGTCCTTTGAAAGAGTGAAAAACTATAAAATATCAAGGTGAATATTGTAATTGATCATTGATCGAAAAACTCAAAATTTCGTTTTAACTAGTTAAACTTTGGACATTAGGCAAGTACCATACTCAGTATGTATTTATAATGGTGCCCTCACACATAAACCACGACCTTACTGCGACCTGAAAACTAGTAAAATAGCATTTTTCTTTCGAAAATCGTTGGTTTTCTTTCAAATTTCTCTCGCAGACGGTCCGGGGCTCTGCAGTCTTGTGTTCAGTACGTTTTCTCTATGTCCTCAATACGACCCTTCTACGTCCATGGCGTTTCCACTGCGACTGTATTGCGTCCCCAAGGCGACCCCACGGCGATCATCGGCGACCCAGCTGCGACTGTGCTATGTTCTCTGCGTCCTTACGGCGACACTACGACGACCATTGCGTTTGTCCGGCGACTGTCCTGCGACTGTACGACGACCCTACTACGTTCTTGCTACGTCTATAAAAACAATACTTTTTACCAGTAAATTTAATTATGAGTCTGACCTTACGGCGTCCTTAGTACGAGTGTACTACGTCTATTGCGTTCTTATTGCGTCCTTACTACGATGCTGCTGCGACTATGGCGACTCCACTGCGATCCCACGGCGACCTAACCAGGACTCAGCAAGAACGCAGAGTTTCTGCGACTGTTTTGTGCATGTTCAAAATAGTCGCCGACGGTCTGCGACCTTGTGCGTCCTTGGGTTCCTCGCTACGACCTCACTGCGTCCCTGCTGCGTCCATGGCGACTGTGCTGCGTCCTGGGTCGTAGCAAGGTCGCAGTAAGGACGCAGTAAGGTCGCGAGGTATGTGTGAGGGCAGTTTAAACTAAAACAAATATCATATGCCGAAAGTAAATAAATGGAATAGACAGGCACACACCAACGCTGTTAGCTTTAAGGGTTAAACTAATAATTTTCTAGCTTTACATAAGCTATGCATAATGATTATACAACATAAGAAAATTATGAAAAGTACAAACATATTTCTGATAGCGCTTACACAGTGTGAAAGCTTGCTAGTTAATTTCCTTGGAATTGGTAAAATATGCACGGTTGCATTTATTTCGTTATTCATTTTTGTAGCCCGTAGATTAAACCTCATTTTGCCTTCGCAGGAATTTTACAAGGGGTTAATATATATATTTACCCTATTTATCAAAAGAATAATATGCTTTGATCGCTTTAGTGACCATTAAAATCATAGCACTGAAAGTCCTGGAGTGTCGATTGTGTTGTGAAATATATAACCTTTCACAGCCTGTGAGAAAGTGAAAGGTAAGTAAATGTTTGCAACTTTGTAAAAATCGTATTTAGTGTCATATCCAAGCCGAAGTTACTCTTGTAAGTAGTTCAAATGGTACAATGTGGAAACAAAGGACATGAAAAAGGTAACATTATGTTAAAATAGTTTGGCAAGGTTACAAACCAAAATTCAGAAAGAAATAAAGATGAAGAGATAACCCAAGCCACTGTTACACTACAAGCTGCTGTGCATTAAAGGCATTTAAAACAAGACATGTCGGTAGGACAGCACTCTTGACTATCCTTAGTGCTTGATAGTAAAAGAGCTTTGATAATGTAAAAAATTCACAAAAGGGCAAAAATTGTTTCAAATCAATGTTACAGTTATAGGTTTTGTAGAGAGTCCTTTTATGCTTTGAAAGAAGTTATTAAGTTTCAACTTTCAAAGCCAAATGACAATGGACTTAAAAGTCACTTTTCAAAAATAAGATGGTACAGTATGCAAACTTTAACGCAAGTTCAAAGTCCAAAAAGGTGCATCATTCTGTCAAAATACAAGATAGAGCCATCTCCTCCCATCTACATATTGTGGGGATGATGGTGAAGGTGTGCAATGTTTCAAAGCCATATGTCACTGGACTTTGCAATGCGGTGGTAGCAAACTTTCACATAAATTTTATCTTAAAAATGGGCATTATTCTGTTAAAATGCTTGATAGAGCATGACCTTCTCATAAAATGTATATTGTTTTGCGTTCGATTTTTAGCTGATCTTATGCAAGTACATATTGATAATTATACAATTGTCTACAATTTGTATGAAACTGCAAAGTTAGCATTGTTCTGTAAATAGTTTTGTATAATCATGCCTGTAAAATTGGCAGAAGAGACAGTACAAGTGGCAGTCTGATAGCCTAGTTGACTGAGGAGGTAAATTGTCTTGAATTTGAAATGTTTGTTTATTTTCATAAGAGAGAACGGAATCGTTGCAAAACGGTGGAAACCCTGGTTATAAAAGTACCTTCATAATTTGTTGTTGAATATTTTCCAGTAAGCTTGGAAATACATGTACCAACTTGCACACAAAAACTTAACCAAAGTGTGACGGCGACCCCAACACAGACAACATGGTCAATACAGTACCTCTTTCTATTCTCCGAAAAGGCGAACTTAAAACAAGGAATCAAGTGATTATATACATAATTTTTGGTGCAATGCTGCAGACACATTTTACTCAATGGAATTTATGATCATTTATTTTCAATGCATCCTCTACCATTAAGTTCAGTAAGTCGTGAAGACACCATGACGTCATTGTATAAGAAGCACCTGCACTCACAACATTTCCAATTAGAGGCAGAATGTACTTGACATATTTCGCAGTTGTTAGCGTGCCTGCCTTTTTAAATCCTTTTTTGGACAAATAAGATAGAATTCCTTTCGCGGATAAACCTATTAAACGACTTTGAAGATTCAGATTATTTGTTAACTGGTCAATGGTCATTTCAGATCTCTGCGCATATGCTTGTAGCATTTCCTCACTGAGACCAAACTGGGTTTTGTAGAATGTGGTTTCTTCAATCAGAATTCCAATATCAACGACACTTTCCATAAAAGGCACAGGTATTGCCCCGGTTACACCTGACATCAAGGATAAAGCATAGATTCTCTCGGATAAGATTTCTTTCTTTATCATTTTAAGGATTGAATATATCATTTAAAGGTGAGACTATTATCATGTTAAGAATTGGACAGTATCATTCAAAGGTTTGACTATATCATTTTAATGAGTGGACAGGGTCATTTTAAGGTTCAACTATATCATTCTAAGGATTGGACAGTATCATTTTAAGGTTTGACTATATCATGTTAAGTATTGGACAATATCATTTTAAAGTTCAACTGTATCACTTTTAGGATAACACAGAATCATTTTAAGGTTTGACTGTATCATTTCATGGGTTGGAAAGTATCATTTTAAGTTTTGACTGTATCATTTTATGGTCCGACTAAATCATTTTAAGGATTGGACAGTATCATTTTAACGGTAAACTATATTATAATAATGATTGGACAGAATCATTTTACGGTTCAACTATATCATGTTAAGCATTGGACAGGTTCATTTTAAGGTTCGACTGTATCATTTTTAGGTTTAAATATCATGTTAAGGATTGGACAGTATCATTTTAAAGTTTGACTATATCATGTCAAATATTGGGGAGTATCATTTTAAGGTTTGACTATATCATTTTAAGGATGGGATAGTATCATTTGATGGTACGACTATATCATTTTAAGGATTGGACAGGATCATTTGAAGGTTTGATTGTATCATTTTAAGATTTGACTATATCATTTTAATACTTGGACACTATCATTTTAAGGACTGGAAAGTATCATTTAAAGATTGGACTTGATCATTTTAATGTTTGACTTTATCATTGTAAGGATCGGACAATATCAATTTAAGGCTGGACTATATCATCTTAAGGATTGGACAGTATCATTTTAAGGTTCCACTAAATATTATCATCCTGAGGATTGGACAGTATCATTTTAAGATTCTACTTTATCATTTTAAGGTTTAACTAAATCATTTTTAGGATTGGACAGTATCATTTTAAGGTTTGATTATATCATGTTAAGGAGTGGACATTATCATTTTAAGGTTGAACAATCATTTTAAGGTAAGACTTTATCACTTAAAAGATTCTACAATATCAATTCAAAGTTCAGCTTTATCATTTTAAGGAGTGGACAGGGTCTTATTAAGGAATTGGACACTGTATCATTTAAAGGTTCAACTATATCATTTTAAGGATTTCACAGTATCATTTTTAGGTTTGACTATATCATGTTAGGGATTGGACAATATCATTTTAAGGTTTCTCTGTACCATTTTTTGGTTCGACTATATCATTTTATGGATTGCACTGTATCATTTTAAGGTTTGACTGTATCATTATAAGGTTTGGACAGTATCATTGTAAGGACTGACTGTATTATTTTAAGGTTCTCGTATATCATTTTAAGGATAAGACAAGATCAAATTTTTTTTAAAGGTTTGACTGTATCATTTTAAAGTTCCACTACATCATCTTTGGGATTGGACAGTATCATTTTAACAATCGACGAGATTATTTTAAGAATTATCATTCTAAGGTACGACGTTATCATCTGAGGGATCGGACAGTATCATTTTTAGGTTCCAGTATATGATTTTAAGGATAAGGCAAGATCATTTGAAGGTTTGACTGTAAAGTTAGATAATATCATTTAAAGAATTGGACAGTATCATTTAAAGGATTAGCCAGTATCATTTTAAGATTTGACTTTATCATTTTAAGGTTCCACACGACCATTTTTAGGATAGGACAGTATCATTTTAAGGTTCTACTATATCATTTCAAGGTCTAACTATGTCATTTTAAGGTTTGACTATATCAGTTTTAGGATTGGACAGTATCATTTTAAGGTTTGAATATATAATTTGAAGGTTTGACTTTATCATGTTAAGGATTGGAGAGTATCATTTTAAGGTTCGACTATATCATTTTAAGGTAAGAGTATATCAGTTTAAGGATTTGACAGTGTCATTTAAAGGTTCGAGTATATCATTTTAAAGATTGGCCAGTATCATTTTAAGGTAAGACTATATTGGTTTAAGGATTGAACAATATCATTTAAAGGTTTCAGAATATCATTTTAAGGATTAAACAGTATCCTTTTAAGGTTCTACTACATCATATAAAGGGTCAACTATATCATGTTAATGATAGGACAGTATTATTTTAAGGTTCTATTATATTAATTTA